TGTTTAGGGTTTTATTGACCTGGGAAACAGGGCATATCAATATAGCAATGGTAAAAAATGTCAATTAAGTTTGAATGAATAGCTCAACTAATAAATGTTTCAGTGGTTCAGAGGATGGATTGGTCTCTTTTGCAGAATTTACTCTGGACTAGTATTCACATAATTCAAAGAGGATACTTGTGTTTGATGATAGCCATCTTTTGAAGAACATTGGCAAGAAGATTACTACTTGAGAGATCAAGGAATGAGGGATTGGAGATTTTAAATATGTAGAGAAAGTTTGTAGTAACCGTGTGAATTAGGAATAGAAAAAAAAGTAGTGAAGTTGATTGAGAGGATGGCAGTAGATGAGGAGAATGGAACTAATATACAGTTGACCCTTGAACAATGTGGAAGTTAGGGGTGCCAACACAGCCAAAAATCCACATGTAACTTTTACTCCTCAAAAACTTACCTACTAATAGCCCACTGTTGACCAGAAGCCTTACAGATAATATAAGGTTAACACATTATCTTCTATGTTATATGTATTATATACTGTATTCTTACAATAAAGTAAGCTAGAGAAAAGAAAACGTTATTAAGAAAATCCTAAGGAGGGTTGCCTGGGTGGCTCAGTCGGTTAAACATCTGCCTTTGGCTCAGGTCATGATCCCAGGGTCCTGGGATGGAGTCCCACATCCACACTGGGCTCCTTTTCGGCAGGGAGCCTTCTTATCCCTCTGCCGCAGCTCCCCCTGCTTGTCCTCCCTTGCACTGCCTCTCTCTGACAAGTAAATAAATAAAATCTGAAAGAAAGAAAGAAAGAAAGAAAAGAAAGAAAGAAAGAAAGAAAGAAAGAAAGAAAAAGAAAAAATCCTAAGGAAGGGAAAATAAAGTACAGAAAATACTTTACTGAAAAAAATCCATGTATAAGTGGACTCCAAGCCCATGTTGTTTGAGGGTCAACTGTGTCTTATGTTTGTTCAGGCACTCCATTTATGCAAATATCAAGTAAGTGATGTAATCCTCACTTTATCAATGAGGAAGTAGGCTTGGAGTGGTGAAGTAAGGTGTCCAAGTTCAGATTGTACTTGAACCCAGATGTATCTGCATCCTAAGCATATTCTGAACAAGGTTAAGTTTTAGCTTGGTGGGTGGGTATGGCAGAATGAAGGGCCTGACAAAACCTGGGGTGTTTTGTAAGAACAGAGTTGAAGTGACTAAGTAATTACAATCAGGTTGGTTTGGTTTGGGGCTTAAAAAAATTAATGTAATGGATAGAGTCAGGTTTTTACTTTTATTTTACCTTCCCTCGTTATCCTTCTTGTTTTAACTTTTATTTTACTTTCTTAAACATTGTTTGGATCACAGTACTTTTTTTTTTCCATTGAGGCATTTTATTTGCACGTATGTATTACATCCCTAGAAAAAGAAGCCCAGGATTTTCCCTCCTGTGTATTTTCTTTTTTTTTTTTTATTTGAGAGAGAGAGAATGAGAGATAGAGAGCACGAGAGGGAAGAGGGTCAGAGGGAGAAGCAGACTCCCCGCTGAGCAGGGAGCCCGATATGGGACTCGATCCCGGGACTCCAGGATCATGACCTGAGCTGAAGGCAGTCGCTTAACCAACTGAGCCACCCAGGCGCCCCCTCCTGTGTATTTTCATCTTGCTCCTTCGTGGTCCATGATGCCAACCGAGGTTGTCAGCACAGTGAAACTGATCTGGGAGGATGGGAGCAGATTATTCTGCCATTTTTCCAGATCTTTGAGTTGTACATCAAATCTAGGGCTGATCACTCCACGCTTGTTTAACCTGCCCGTGAGGTTCACAACAATTTTTCCAGCTCTGTGATCATCAGTGATTTCAAATTTGCCAATGTAACCATGCTTCATCATCACAGTTAGAAACTGGATGATGACTTTGGAGCATGGCCTAGTAAGAACCTGGTGTTTGGCTCTCTTTTCGGCATTGTTAATGCTCTTGAGAACACCTGCCAGGACATTCATGTGCACCATTATGGCCGCACGGAAAGATGGTGGACAGGAGGCCACAATACTTATTTTCTTAACAGTAAGACCCTTTTCTTTGGAACTAACCATTCTATATTAAGTATCCTGCCAGTACATGTTTCAGTCCAGTAAGCTTACTTCCTTTTTGTTCATCCCCACCTGCTTCACCTAAATTTTGTTCATTTCCTAGTTTAAGGTAGCACTGCTGTTTTTTTATTCAGTTTTTTGAAATCACTTCCATTCTTTCCATGAAGCATTCTAGATTAATTTTGTTTGACAGAATTTATTCCAGAGATCCCATCAAAAGATAATTAGGATTATATCATGGAGAATTTGTGTTAATATTTCAGATGGTTATTTAGCTGGGTTTTTGACATTTAAAGAAAGTTTTCTCTATTTTCATTAGATTTTAAATTAATCTAGTTACATGATGTGGGCAACATTTTACATATTTATAATTCTTTTTATGGCTTAAAACAGGTTCACTTTAGTATAGTTAGGCTGCAAATAGGGAGTAAGTACTGTTGATTGTCCTTGATTCAAAACGAAGTACATAGACATAGTTGATACCCTTTTTGGCTAAGTTTTTTATACTGAAGTTCATGTATTTTGAGTTTCTGGAATGTTTTTTGAGAATTTTTCTGACTGTTTATGGAAGTTCCTTTTATCACCTGAGGCTCTGAGAACACAGACCAATTCAGAAATTTTGGGAAAGAAAAAAAGATGAAAAATTGTACCTAATTATTTCTTGTGTTTTAAATTATGAATTGTGAAAATTAAACATGAATCTGATATGTTAAAAAATTCACAGAGTTTTGGGCTGTTTATCATGCTTTTTATGTTACCTAACTGTCTCATACTTTACTTAATTTAGATGGATAATGGTTAAGGAACAATCTGAAATTCAATTCAAAAAGAAGATAGAAGATAATAGGTAAAAGGTAAGTGACTAGAATGTTAAATAATATGTGATCGGAGTCTGTTTTTACTTAGTCATTGTTTTTACCAATTCATTTCAGAAGAAGGGTGTGATGGTGTAGGTTGTTATTGCCAGACTATAGGTCATCAAAAAACACCTTTAGACTTTTGTTATTAGATTTAAAAGTACCATATTTTGCTTTCTGTAATTAACTTCCATTGTCATTATTGTTATTACATATTATTGTTGTTACTTTGGCTTTGTGGAGTCTTTGTATCTGCACAATGGAATGTAGCTTAAGGTTCTGTAGCTTTAGCTGGGGTGTGTAGGACATAGTAACTCAGCCACCTACATTTGTTATTTTTGAGATTTATCATTTTGGAATATGTCACTTTCTAACTTTTTTTAAGTGCAGTTGTTGCTACTATTTATGCTTGATATGTTGAATAAAAACCCTTTTAGCTTGGTAGTAGAAACCCTTTCCCTGAGTTGAAAATCTGTGAAATGAATGCTCTTATTGAATTAGAATGATTTGAGATTGAGAAGAAAAAAAGTAGGAGAGATTATCAAGGGAAAGTGGGTGGGGCTATGGAAGAATATTAAAGACACTTGTAAAAGAGCTAGATTTTTCTTAGAAATGTTGGAAATACTTGCAGTAGAAGGAAGTGTCCCAAATAGAGGTGTTTCATTTTTCTTCATTCGTTTTTGCTCTATGAAAGGAAGTGAGTTTGATGATACCTAATAGGTTAGTACTTAGGAAAGCTTTGTTTAGAAAATGAATGAATGAGCCTCTCTCTTCTCTACTCCATCTCCCAAAAATAGGAAGAAGTTTTTAGGGCTAGAAAGGGGCAGATTATTTTGTCTTTTCAAAAATTAATCAATCCCCTAAAACTGATCTTATCTATCTGTCTATATTGTCTATATCTGTATCTGTATATTTCTCACTGTATAAATGTTAGGCGAAGAGAGAGGGCCTCAGTGCTAGCATGTTATGCTAAATGCCAAATCAAATGAAGAAGGAATAGGAAGATTAACATAACATGATAAAATAAAATTTAAAAATTAATAAGAAAAAAAAAAGAAGGAATAGGAAGAGAAGAATAGAAAATCCCCCTGCAGTAAGGGTAATTGTCATTACATCTGGAGACATACAGGGATATGGAAGGGTGTTGAACATTAGTTGGTTACCAAGGGAAGAATGGAGTTTGTCTAATGTGGTCTTTAAAAATACCTTATGTAGAGGCATTTAACAGCTCTGTTTTTGCTGCTATATTTAAGTCTACACTTGTCTGTATGTCTGACTTTTAAGGTCTTCCTGTAGTCTAGTGTTGTACTTTATCCAGTGAGCCTCATTTTCTTCTGTTCTTCAGCAAGTCCCTTCTGCTCCACTGAGCCCACTTTTCTCATTGTGTCCTACACATACCACATTCATTCCTATTTCTCTGACTTAGCCAATGCAATTACTTCTGACTGGAACAGTTGTCCTTCTTCCCTCCATTCTTAAATCCTGTCTTCTTTTGGTATCCCTTCATTACTTCACACCACACTTCTTTCCTTCTTTAAACTCCTCTTGCAGTTGTACTCATTATCCTTAGTTCAGCGTTTGATTCTCTAATTACTCCTATGTCTTAAGTTTGGTTTAGATTATATTCTTTAGAGCAGGAGGCTTCTTTTCTATTTCTTTTATGTCCTATGCAGTGCATGGCTTGGGGGTTGCATGTAGGGTTGGTGGTGTCTGGTTCTGCCTTGTTTGAATGTGCTTCCACTCAAATGCTAGGTGATAGAAGAGATGGTGATCTTTCTCTTCGCAAAGTTGAATTCTTCTGTGTGTTTTTGCTTGATCTTATCTTGGAACTGCTTTTGTTCTTTTTTAACTTAATTTTTTCCCCTTGGATGTCTCTTTTTATCCCTTTCTATTGATCCAGATTAGTTGTTAATCATCACTGATTTCTCTTCTTTTTAGTCTGCAGATTTATTCACCCAAGATAACTTTGATGTGAGAAAATTTAATGTGAAATCATCACTGAAATTTGTTGCCTGTTCCAGTCAAAGTTTGTAGGCTACAAAAAAAAAAAAAAAAAAAATCCTGAAGTTTGCACCTATAAATTTATACCAAGGTAATTTCAGGTGAGAGAACTATTGCTAAAATAAGAGCATATGAACTATGCAGGTTTAATTGTATAATTAATGTAACTAAGCAAAAAGTTACTTTTCTGCCTATTTAAGGAATCTGATTGTAGCTCCAAATAAATTGATTTTATATGTCAATTTTCATATTATTTTGAATCTAACATTCTTTGAGTCAGAAGGCTTGTTTTTTTTGTTTTGTTTTATTTCCCTGCTTTCTTAAACTTCTTTGATCTGCACTTGTACCTCAGCCTCTTTGGGTATAAAGGATGTCAGTACACCATGTCAGCAAGCCATCTTCTTGGTTCATTTTGCATGAACATCTGCAGTCTATAATGGATTACTGTTTACCCAGCTTTGTTTCCTGATGAGATTAGAATTGTCAAAAAATACAGGTGTTTCTTTTTTTCAGCATTGAGTTGTGATTGAATTTGACTTATTTACTAGTAAATCAGAATAAGTTGTTTACTGGTAAATCAAAATAAGTTGTAAAACCTTAAGATATGTTAGTTTATTTAAAATTAAATTAACATAGCTTACATTTAAATGAAGAAACAGTTTGTCTGCCAATTGAAGTATCTTTTTATGGTTGAAATTAGTGCATAATCCTGTAGCATATTCATCACCTTCATTTAAGTGTAAAAATTGCATCTATTTCTCTTCAAAGACTATATTGCTATATCTCGACAGTGACCCTTACTGTGAAGAAAGTTAGTATCCTGATTTATATTTTATAGAAACCAGCATTAAAACAGAATGCTTTCTTATGCTCTTAGATCAAAGTTACTGCAGTTAATTTGTGTTAGTGTTTTTACTTTGTGATTTGTGCTTATTCTACTAAAACTTCTTACTGCAGAATTGGATTGAGATTGATACGTGTTTTGGGTCCTGGTCCATTAGATCATCTGTGTTTTAGCTACTATATGAAGAATGAGTATAACTCAAATACAGCTGACTTTCAACAAATATTTATTAATGTATACGATTTGTTAGATACTAGGTACTGGCCATACAGCAGTTCACAACAACAACCACAGACAAAAATCCCTGCCTACATGGCACTTACATGCTAGTGGGTTTAGGGAACAGATAATAAAATAAGTAAAATATATAGTGTATAAGATGGTAAATGTTAGGGAGGGGTTAAGGGAATATTGTGTGATTGGGTGTGAGGGGAGGAAGGGTTGAAATTTTAAGTAGTGTGGCCAGCCAAGGTTTCACTGAGTAAGTGACATTTGAGTAAAAATCTGAAGAGGTGAGAGAATACACTACAGGGACCTTAAGAGTGGAAAGATTGTTCCAGATAAAAGGCATTACATGTGCGTTTTTCAGATAGTTAAGTTTATTGGTATTATTGTAGGTTCACTCAGGCTTTTTATTTTCCACAGAATGTCCAGCAAGGAAGTAAAGACTGCTCTAAAAAGTGCTAGAGATGCAATCAGAAACAAAGAATACAAAGAAGCTTTGAAACATTGTAAGGTAACTGATACATTTTTTTTATTCCACAGTAAAAGTATGTTACCTATTTACAAGCATTATGGATTTGTAATATGTGTATCATTTATTGTCTAAACGTAACAAAAGTGGTTCAGTTGTTTAGTAGACCATTAGAGTGGTTTTTTTTTTTTTTAAGATTTTATTTATTTATTTGACAGAGAGAGACAGTGAGAGCAGGAACACAAGCAGGGGGAGTGGGAGAGGGAGAAGCAGGCTTCCCGCTGAGCAGGGAGCCCGATGTGGGACTCGATCCCAGGACCCTGGGATCATGACCTGAGCCGAAGGCAGACGCTTAACGACTGAGCCACCCAGGCTAGGATAAACTACATTGGCCATACTCAATGTAGTTGAGCCACACTCTCAAAACCTGAATATCTCTTAGGTATCTTTTGATGGGTTGTATTATGGAGCACTACTGTATCATAAGTTTTCATTCTTTAATGGTATGTTGACAGTGTAATTCTATTTGGTTTGTGAATGGGGGGACTCAAGATTCTAAATCTCCTCTGTAAGGTACTGAGGGGAATGTACCTGTCCGGAGGGAGAAACTGAATGTGCAGGAGAGAGTAGTGTAGTGTAGGAGTAAGAGAGGATGGGATCCTGAGCTCCAGAGAGGGGTCTTTGATACTTTTTCCGTCTTAGCAGGGGGAAAGATAGGTGTAAATCCATATACTGTCAGATTTGTAGGTTTGGGGGTAGGAAGAGAGGAATGTTCCCCTCTGATATTTTCTTAGTAAAGTATAAGCTGAGAGTAGAAGAAGAGCTGTGTAGGAGATTTGAGAGGAAAGAAGGTATGTAGTAGTTGTTATTTAACTTACTAGTGAGGATTGAAGGGATTGCCAGGCCCTAATGAATGTCCATTTGAAGTTTCATGTTACTGAAGTGAAATCACTGAACTGAGTTGTGTAGTTTCTCCCTTCATGCCCAGCTTCTCAAGCTTGGAAGTGGGCATACTGGGGTTCAAGTATGGATGTTGAGAACGATGATGGGGAAGAGAGGCAAAGGAGTTGAGGATGTTTGCCTGGGAGAGAGGACAGTGATGGGTCAATGGAGTCTAAACTGGGAGAGGAGGGATGAGCCTTGAGAAGTGGAGCGATAGTAGAATAAAGGGGGGGGTCAACTAATTGGACATATTAGAGGTTAAAAAATTGTCAGCTTTAGTAGTTACCTTGTTGTTAGTTTTTTGGGAGACAGTATTGTTGGATAGAATGGAATTTGTGCTATAGAATGGTGAGAGATTGCTGGAAGTGTCATGTGGATGCATATAAACACAATAATCTGTCTCAACTCGTGGAAGTATTCTTATTTTCTCTAGAATATGTAAAATCTTAAGAGCTAATTTCATTTTAGCTACTAGTTTTGTTTTCTGTCACTAGAACATCTTTGTTTTCTGTTTCAAACTTTTACTTTAGCAAGTAGCTGTTCTTTCTGAAAGCAATAGCTCTACATATAATTTTTATTCTCATTGACAGGTGGTATTTAAACATTTATTGCCACTATTTTTGAACATATTTGGAATAGTCACATTGGGGTCAGTCTACCTTCCTACCCTGTTATTTCGATGAAAAATCTGTATGGTGGTGGGAAGTGTTATCATAGTGAAGGAAAATGTGGGCGTTGGATAGGGTGAAACGATATGGAAAACAGTTTTGTGAGTTGACTGGTGGCAGTGTGGAGTGGAGGCAGGCAAGATGGTTGGGTGGTATGAATAGTCTTAGTCTTCTTTTTGTACATAGTATTTTCAAGGAGCGTGGGGAGGCATTTGATGGAGGCATCAGCATTGCTTGGGCAGCTTTTAAAAAATATGCCTCATGTTTTAGACTCCTTATAATTACTGATCCAGTTCAGCTCCTTCTCTCCTTGAGGAAACCGAAGACCAGAGAGGTTGAGCGGCTTTCTTAAGATCGCCCAGTTAGTGGTAGATCCATATTTCCTGACACTCAAGTTGACAGTCTTTTAGTTGTTGTTTGTTCATTAGCTTCCAAAATTTAATGACCCGTTCTTTTAATTTTTTTTAATCAGACAGTGTTAAAACAAGAGAAAAATAACTATAATGCCTGGGTTTTTATTGGTGTTGCTGCAGCTGAGTTAGAACAACCTGATCAGGCCCAGGGTGCCTATAAGAAAGCTGCTGAACTAGAACCAGACCAATTACTGGCTTGGCAGGTATGTAGAAATATTTTTTTCCTATATTATGGTAAAGAATTTTTTGCCCCATTTTTAAAAATATAGGTAGCAGCTTTTTAAAAAAGCATTTAAACCTTTACCTCACAGAAGAAAAAATTTTAAATTTATTGGTCTTCTAAACCTGAATGTTAGTTCAAAAAAAATGCCAATGATGCTATTTAACATTATTTGACATCCAACCCAATGGATTATTTCCAAAGGTGAAGATTGGAATTGAAATATGATTATATAAATCTCTAATTTAATTATGTGTGCATATGAAAGACTTACCAAGGATATTCTTTATGCTTTTTCAAGGGAAAAGAAATGTATATTAATCTGTTTTCTAAAGGTAAAATAAAAAAATTTGCAAACCTATATATTTGAGTACAAGTGAAATTCTTTTTTCTTATTTTATGTTCTTCATGTTTTTTGTTGGCTTCTCCAACTTTTTCATATTTATAAGTTTGTTTTATATCTCAATCACATCTTAGAAACTGATTAATAGTAGGTAGTAGGCTTGGGAGAACATGAACCTGTTTGTATCACATTTATGTGAACAAGAACGTGAGAGGGGGTATCTGGTAACACACTTAGAGAGATGCCTACTTTTAGTATGTATTGATTGATTTAAGATACCTGATCTTTCTTTGAAGCAAAGATGACAGGTTCCACAAATTAGTTGGATTTTTTTATTTTGACCATATAAAAGTAGTGTCATATAGTAATGTCTTAAGAGTTAAGATTAGAGAGAGAACGCCTGTACATACGCATGCAGCATGCACGAGTGGGGAGGGGCAGACGGAGAGGGAGAGAGAATTCTCAGGCAGACTCCCTGCTGTGCACGGAGCTTGACTCAGGGCTTGATCCCAAGACCTTAAGATCATGACCCGAGCTGAAATCAAGAGTTGTACGCTTAACCGACTGAACCACCTAGATGCCTACTTCAAATATATTTTCAGAAGTAAAGAGAATGGTATAATGAGCTCCTTTGGCTATCACCTAGCTTCAATAAAAATCCACATATGGCCAGTATTTTTTCATCTATACTTTCATCTACTTTCTCCTACCCCTAATTATTTGGAGGCAAATCCCAGACATATTATTTTATTTGTAAATTACAAATTTCTTTATCATAAATAATCTTTATAGATCGTCACTTTATTTAGTAAAATGAATGTGAGAGCATTAGACTTTTTAGAAGAATAATCTCTACTGTTTCCTATTTTAGGGGTTAGCAAGCTTGTATGAGAAATGTAATCACGTAAATGCTAAGGATGACTTACCTGGTGTTTACCAGAAGCTCCTGGATCTTTATGAAAGGTGATCATTGTATGGGGAAAGGCCAGTGTCTTTAAAAGCTTTAATTCAAATAAACTGATTAAAACTTACATAGAAGTACTCCAAACATTTACTGGGAATTGAGAAGCATTTTTCTTTCATACCATTGTTACAGAATCTTTTGATTGTGATTGAAACAGAATCAAAACACTATTTGTAAGAGGACTGACTAATTTGGGAACTTTGATATAATTTTCAGTTAATATAATGGAAGATATTATTTCTTAAACCTTTTCTTTTTTAATGAGAGGCTTATTTTATAAAATTGTCCTGTGGTATGAAAGAGGATATGTTCTAATTTAAAATAGTACCTGACAGTAGTATTATTGGGATATTTTAATGGTAGTATCTTAAGCCCTTGGTTGTTTTCATTAATCGATTCAAAATCCTTTTTTTTTTTTTTAATTTTTTATTCTAAGTGTTGACAAACAGAAGTGGTGCGATGTCTGTAAGAAACTTGTGGATCTATATTACCAAGAAAAGAAACATGTAGAGGTTGGTTAATGATTTGCTGGGGTAGTAGACCTCTTTTACTAAAGGCATTATTAGAAGAAAGCTTTCATTTAGCTTAAGGGAAAATTAAAAAAAATTAATATGTAAGTATGGTGTTAAAAGAATATAGAGAGATATTACAAATAACAGTGTTTTGAAACTAAATTAAAATTCAAGTTTTAGTTATTCTAACTTCTAAACCTTTTTGCAACTGGGCAGGGATAAATAAAATAAGTAAAAGCATCATCTATAGAATTTAGTGATGCATTTGTTGTGCATCCATCGCTGATGCTATGAGTTACAAGGATTGGGGTATGTAGCCATTATTCCTGTTTCCACTCTGGTATCTTAGTTGTACTTCTAATATAGGGGCTGTGTGGATTTGCCCAGTCACCTATTTCTTGGGGAATTCATAATAGATGAAGTTCTGTGCTTTTGCTATTTTTATGTATTAGCAAATGAAAAATATTTTTATTTGTAGATTTTATATTTTTAATTGGCATTTTTGATATTTAAGATTAATTAAAAAACATTTAAATCTCCTTCTTGATAGGTGGCCCGAACATGGCACAAATTGATAAAGACACGGCAGGAGGAAGGTGCAGACAACCAAGAGCTTCATCAGCTATGGAGGAAATTGACTCAGTTGCTGGCTGAGAGTACTGAGGATCAAAATAATGAGACCCAGCAATTGGTATTTGACCCCTTTATTCCCTACAGTTTGTGTCATGAAGATTAATCATTTAATTGAATTTAGCAAATGGAAACATAATGGTGTAATATAGGAAAGTACCATACGTCAAAATTGATATTTTATAAGTGTTCAATTTTAAATTCAGAGAGGTTCTTGCTGATACAGTCAAAATTACTGGCCTGCAGTCTTGTATTAAGTCTGGACAGAGTGGACTTGGTGTTCAGGGTATCACAGTTTACTTCCTTGTGTTCATAAGAATCCACAGTAAAATCACCCATTCCTCCTTAATCACCGTGAAAAAGAAACTGTGAAATTGGCTTTCACAAAACTGCTGTAATTTCTATAAAGTTGTACTTACTTAAAGGTTTGTTTAAAAGTGTGTTTCTTTATGTTTGTGAAGAAAGAGTACTAAATTACTTTGAGGTTTAGCAACTCAGTATTTTGTTTAAAGTATTTAGGGTACTTATGTCTAGAAATATTCCATTTTAGTGTATAGATTTTGAAGTAATTGAAAAGAATTTTTATAAAAAGACTAAAACAGTCCATTGATTTTGAACTGTAATTGGAAAAATCTCCATTCTACTTTTTTATATTTGTTAAGCTTAAAAGTAAATTTAATTTCTTATTATCGTACATAGCCATCAGTGTATACTTGTGAAATTTGAATGGACTTTTTAAATGTAAGCAATTATAGACTGAATATAGGATGAGAAGTTCATTTCTTTGTATGTTTGTTCATTTACTCCTTAATCCTTTTTTCAGAATATATTTATTTCATGTAGAATCTACTATATATGTCAGGCAGTGTCCTAAATGCTGGAGATAAAAATAGAAGAATATAATTTGCATTTGTTTGTGTGTTGGTTTATCTGTGTATAGATTTAGTTGTGGGAAAAAATTGAGGAGTGACAAACTTAGATGATCTGTGAACTTCTCTTAAATCATATCTTCATATTATGGCTTCATTGCTTTCCTTGAAAAACTATAGGTTACCAAAATATCAAACATACACCAAATACCAAAATAAGTAAAATCGTTTTTTTCTTGAATTATCTGTATTATGCTCCTCCATGAAAGAGAACTAATTATGCTTGTCATCATTTTAAGAATTGATGTTTAACTGTTAAATAGGATAAGAGGATTTCGGGGTGGGGTTATTTTCATCTTGAATTCTAATGATAATGCTTATTTAAGTGTGTTCAGAAAAAAATGTTATCACCTGTTTTCCAAAAGGATTAATTGCATTACTTTTTTTTGAAACCCCTTGTGCTAAACTGTATAAGTTAGACTTCCCTTTTTGCAAGACTATTAACTTTATCAGAGGAGTAAAATTTTCCCTATTTATGTAGACTTTATACCATACTTCACAAAGAAATTTGGAGGTAGTGAACAGTATTGAGACTTTTTCATTTAAGTCATGGAGGGGCTCGTGGGTGGCTCAGTCATTTAAACATACGAATTTTGATCTCAGCTAAGGTTTTGATATCAGGGTCATGAGTTCAAGTCCCACTGGGCATGGAGCCTACTTTAAAAAATAAAAATAAAAAAATAAAGTCATGGAAATTCATTTAAAAAAAAAGGTAGAACTTATGTAACTATATGAATGGTATCCTTTAAAGTGCTTGATCTGGATTCTAGTATTGTTGTTCTTGCTCAAAACATATTTAGAAAGCTTCTTATGGAATTTTCTTCAAAGTCATTTAGTAATACTGGATAAGAAGTGATGTTATTGTAGTTCAGTCATAGTTCTGGTTTTCTTTTGACATAAGTATAACTTTACAAATTTATTTAAGATTGAAGATTTGTGACCATTGAAAATGTTCCAAGGAACATACTGGTGATTTCAGTAGAGATGTTTTAAAAATGATCTGAATAGTTGCAGTTACACTGGTATATAAATAAGACTATACCTCTCCAGTTGACTACTTTATAGGGAACAGCAAGCACTTACAAGAATGTTTTGTTAAATTCATGATGCTAATTTATATTTATCCCTCATTAGTTCAGTGCAGTCTCCTGGCCAGGTGGAGTTAGACATATTCTAAAACTTGCATAGACATTTTTTTCCTCCTTGAAATTGTCAGGGCCAGACAATATAGGAAAATATGAGACAATAAAATACATTTGCAGTTCGTTAGTTGAGGTGGTATATCGTATGAGTCTTCTACCTTCAACTGTTTATTACATTTGTCATTTCACTATGCTAACGAAGATAGCTTTTTTGTTTGTTTCAGCTTTTAACTGCTTTTGAGAATGCACTGGACTTATCAGATAAGATTCCTAGTGAAGATCACCAAGTACTTTACAGACATTTCATTCACTGTTTATCCAAAGTAAGTTGATTTTAAAAATGTCTAATGTGACTTTTATATTCTAATTAGGAAAGTATTCACAAGCGTATTTTACTATTACTTAGTTTATTTTATTTTTATATTTTCAAGTTTCCTCATGAGACTGCTAGATTGAAGAAGGCCTGTGAAGGAATGATAAACATCTATCCCACTGTACAATATCCACTAGAAGTGCTTTGTTTGCATTTAATTGAATCAGGTAATTTCTTCCCTATTATATTGTGTGTTCTAGAAGTGTATGAACATGGGGGAGTGTTGCTGCTATCAATCAAAAATTGTTTCAGTGCTTACCCTGTGTAAGGTATTGTTTGAATATTTCTGGACGTAAAAGGAAGTACAGTGCGTTGTCTTTGTGCACACGAAGAGGCTAATAAATGTAGGAGAGTATAATGATACAAAGGAATTATGAACTACTGAGTTCATTGTTGATCAGTGAAGTCTTTTGGAAGGTGGGAGTTGAAGTGAGTCTTAAATTTTCCATAGAAATCCGATATATAGGAGGAGGTGAAAAGTACTCTAGATGGCATGAGCAGAAGTATGGAGCTAGGTTGCAATTTTTAGGAATACTAAAATAGTTTTATTTGCTCTAGTGGAAGGAATAACTAAGATAGATTTTGGTTGAGTAGGTTGGACTATATTGCCTAGGGCTATGAATGTCATACATTCTCAGCGCTGATGTTTTAGTGTCACAAGTACATGGTTATAGATGTTATAATACTATAAAGTAATGAAGCTTGTGTATGATCTCCTTTTTTTAATGAAATAGAGCAGATTCAAGTCATAGAGTATGTCTTAGCTTATGCCTCGTGCTCTTCTTTTTTTTTTTTTAAAGATTTTTATTTATTTATTTGACAGAGAGAGACAGAGCGAGAGAAGGAACACAAGCAGGGGGAGTGGGAGAGGGAGAAGCAGGCTTCCTGCTGAGCAGGGAGCCCGATGCGGGGCTCTACCCCAGGACCCTGGGATCATGACCTGAGCCGAAGGCAGACGCTTAACGACTGAGCCACCCAGGCGCCCCTCGTGCTCTTCTTTGTTTTCTTTCTTGGGGTGGGGGAGAGAGAGCTAATGATAGCCAACATGCTGGAAGTTGCTGGAACCCGTGCCTGCGGATGTCTCGTGCCCAGGGCTGGTGTTCAGGGCTGGTGTTCAGTCAGTTTACAGGAGGTTGGCCCAGTGGGTTTTCACACCAGCCTCTGTCCTCTTTGTCGGTATCTGTGCTGAATAGATTTTTACATAATTTAACCATCATTCCTGTCTGTGCCTGTATTCAGCTGATGAGCAAAGTTCACAGAAATCAGTCACTGAAATAGAAATAACAGTACCAGCACCAATGTGTCAGTGATTATAAAGTTTGCATAGTTTTACTAACTTAATTGTTTTCATTTTGTTGCTAAATGAGTATACACCTGGGAATGCTTTGTATGTGAATGACCATCACAGGTGTCATTATGGAAAAATTGTTGAAAACTAGTGATAGAGGTAACTGAGGGAAAATGCCTTTTGAAAGAGTATCATCGCATCTATCTTGGCTCTCCCCACTTCAGCTTTCCCTTCTAAGTCCTACTTGTACTCCCCTCCGCCGCCCCGGTGTCTGAATTAAAATTCAGAACTATTATCTGAAGTGTTGTATTTCTTTGGTGAGAAGTAAGTGATCCCCTATGCTTTAGCTGAGTCAGAGATGGACTTGTAAGAGTACTTTTCACTAATGTGAAAGAAGAAATGTTGTAGTGAATCAATTTATGAAGTATAAAGTCAAACTAATAATATGATATGTGGGATAGATTGTATAGAAGGTAGACTAGATTGGGTAGACTAAATGATCTTGAGAATGAATGAACTGGGACTATGATAGTGGCAATAGAAAGTAACAGATGAATGAAAAAAATAGATTTGTTAAGCTATAAAGGGAGGGAGAAAATAATTTTACTTTTAGCTCTCTTGAAAAGTTGGCCTAATGTGGAATGATCATCTGTAAGAAAGCTGAGTTGTGGAGAGGATAGGTTAATGGACATTCAAAGGGAAATGCCCATCTGGCTTGCAGATGAGAGATCAATACTAAGGCTAGACATAAGGTTTGGAAATCACCAAAGTGAAGTGGAGTGGATGACTTCAGAGGATGACTAAAGAGCAAAAAGCTGAAAACTATGTCTTGGGTGGTGCTGGCTTGCTTGAAGGGAAAGGGAGGGAAAGAGAAAAGTAGAAAACAGAAGCAGAGAGGTCCGACAGGAAGTTGGTGGAACACGATGTGAAGCAACAGAGAAGGCAAGAAAGAACATTTCAGAAAGGAGATCTGTACTGACAGATTGGGCAGCTAACTTTATGATTAGGAGGTTTTTATTTAGGGCTATCTTTCCAAACCAAAGTGATTGAATTGAAACTTAAGATTTCAATGGTTGGAAAAGAGTAGGAAGAAGTGGTTAGCAGATATTAAAAGAAATAATCTAGGGATTTGGCTGACTACATTTGAGAGGAGGAGGAAGCATGCAAAGGGTTGGTAAACTTTTAGAGGAGTAGGAGAAGAATTGCGGTAGTGTTGCCTGGGAGGAGAGGTTCAGGAAGAGAGGGCTAGTTAACATTGTGAACTTTGCTTTGAGGTCAAGGAGGATGAGACATAGCAAGAGACTTTCAATATGAAGAACATGCTTGTGAATTTTTGTATTTTTTTCCCCCCCATTGACAGGGAACAGTTCTAGAATTCACCTAGTTTCTTTAAATTTTAACATGAGTCCTAATACATTTCCAAGATAAGTGGGCTGATTTTGTAATTGGTCTCTGGTACCCATTCCTCCACCCTTTTTCTGCTATTACAATTGCTACTGAGAAACCAGTGGCTGCTGTTCACCCTCTTTTTCTCTATTTTCTTTCGGCTATTAATGATTTGTACTATTCCCTCATTCTTGACCTTGTCACATGCCAAATGACGCAAGAGAATACTTGAAATTTCTTTTTGATGACTGATTGAATGCTTTCTCAATAAGTACAGGTATGCCTATAACGTGGATTTGTGAAATAAGCGTGGCCCCTATATTAAAAAAAAACCTACAAAATTATAGAAGAAATTAAATCAACAAAGTCTATAGAGTTGTGCACATAAATTCAGTATTTGACAAAGTGTTCTAGAATAAAGAGATAGCAAGTGGTTATGCCGAATGATTAGAGAGTGTGTTGGTTTATATGAAAAAAAAAATCATTCCTGGAGAGGTTATTTTGCAGAATTGAAAGAAGGAAAGGCTTATATTCCTGGTAAAGGGGAGTGAGTAGGTGGATATTTACATACATGGTACACCAAGGAAGAGTTTTTTCTCTGTAGAATCATTGGTTGTGAGAATCTGTGGGATGGAGCCATTCAGGCTTAGGTACTTTCTAAGGTAAAGCATTATTCTGGGGGTAAAAGTTTAATAGTTAATGCCAGACAGTAGGAAGCTGTGCTTAATGATTTCTTGTTTTCTTTTCATTGCTCCTCTAAACCAAACTTTCTGTGTATGAAGAACTTCTGAAACTATAAGGTATTTAAAGGCTGACCTATCCTCCCCCAGCGTGCTTTAGTATCTGCGGAATTTGTTACTTCACAGCAGTTAATCACTGGGTGCTCTTCCACTGGGGACAAATGTATTTCATTCTCTTTTGTCCTCTGCATGTTGAGACTTGAAGATTCATTTTCAAAATGATTCAGTTTATAAAGCTTCACATAACAAGTAGTGAATAGCTTTAACAGTTGTCAGCTGATGAAATGTTATTTCATGCTAAATGACCTTTTCGGTTTATTTTATTTTGCTTTATAGTTGAAATAGGGGAGAATAAGAAAGCTTGGATCTTCACATTTAAACATGAAAGAGCTTAAGATTTTGTGCTCTGGAGATATTAGAAAATACGGATGAAAATAAAGAAATGAATACATGCCATTTTGTTTTTTTTTTCCCCCAAGCTACGTTTATTTAAAAGAAAAATTCTATAGTAGTGATCAATTTCTTTGTGATGTCAGCAATTAATTAGTTATTTTTAAAAGTCACTTTTTTGTGTGTGTGGTAAAGCTTAGGAAACAGAATTCTTATAGGTATTATTTGGCATCTACCCTGAGTCTCTTCAGAACGCCTTTTATTCTTAGAGATTTAGCATTCATCAGCCCCAAGTCTAGCTTGCCTTATTGAGAAATAAAAATAATACTGTCAAACTTGTCTTAAAGTTGTTAAGCCTGGGATCTTAGACTCTTTTAAATGTTAAAAAGAGCAGATAAGTTAAAGAAATGATTTTCTATTCAGAAAGAAATCAAGTGTATTCCCTCTCTGTTTCTATCCTCCACATATTATTTAGCTAGTATTCTCAGCAAGAGTTAGTATGGAGAAGAGGATTAAGAGCTGAAGCTTTGGAATATCCTTTGTCTCTACAAAGCATCAGTGATGTTGTTACTACTGTTGATAGTTTTTGGGAACACCAGAGAAGATTCCTCTAAGTGTCATTTGTTCTTGGTCATACGTAGAGAGTATGTTTCCCAAGGGCTAGAACATAGTCTCCCCAAATCTCTTGGTTTCTGTAATTGTGCTCCCAGATATTAAGGAAGATTTATCTTATTTAGAAGTTTTTCATGTTCATCTTAGCCTTTTAAAAACAGTTTTCATCTGCCTACCCACATTTTGTTTACCTGTGTACGTTTTTAGGTACCGTGCGTATGGATAATCACTGGGATGATGCATGATTGGCTTTTCTTTCCATCACAGGTGTGTTTTTTATAATAAGGGCAGTTTATGTAGCCAAGGTACTCTCATGAATTACGTTTCTATGGAGTAAGATAGTTTTGACTCAGATGGCTAGAAATTGAAGGTAAAATTTTAATAGCCGTTTTACTTTCTTTTTTAGAATGGTGATTTTTTAGTTTTCTGTAGTAATTCTCAGCCATTACTTATTAACAGACTAAGCCTTTTGGTACATTAATTCATAATGGTATTCTTAAAAGGATCATTACAGTATTTAATGGATGCCTAATGTGTACAGGATACCATGCTAGTTCCTACCCTCCAGAAGTTACTGTTTAGCTATAGAGGTAGCAACCGTAGTATATATATAAGCCTGACAATAAAGGTGGTATATGGTGTTGGTAAATACTATAGGCCTGTGGTTCTAAAGTATGGTCTCTGAACTTGTAGCATCAGTATCACCTAAGAACTTGTTAGAAGTGCCAGCTTTCAGGTCTAACACTGAAATCAGAAACATTGAGGGGGGTGGTTAGCATTCTCCAGGTGATTCTGATGTCTAGTTTAGATAATACCACTGGTTGAAAAGGGGAGGGAAAAAAAACCCACTGGTTTGCTTGGGAGGAGGAATGTGTATGAAACTAGGCACATCTGCTTTTGGAAATTACATTTATGGAAGCCATAGTGAGAATAGGTTTAGACAGAAGGAAATTCATGTCTAGAAGGATAATAATAGCTGGCTCAGGTCTTTTTTACTGGATAACTAAAAAAGTAGTATTTCTTCCACTTTGTTTTCGTATCTCACCAAACAGTATTGAAGTTTTAATTCTTTAGCCATTAAGAATTTTTTGAATTTTTGGTACTAACTTGGACTTCTAAATCAATGTATAATATCATGGATTATGGTGTGTATATGGTTTTGAAAAATTTGAAATATATAAAATAAATGGTAACATGCCAGGGGTTTATCTTTGACATCTGAGACTGAAAGAGTAGCTCCACATGTGGTCTGGGAGCATACGTTTTATATAGATAGTAAAGCATCAAGCTGCTTTTTCAAACAAATTATTATTTTTTTCAAAGATTTTTATTTATTTGTCAGGGAGAGAGGGAGGGGGAGAGAGAGAGCACAAGCACAGGGAGTGGCAAGCAGAGGGAGAAGCAGACTCCCCGCTGAGCAAGGAGCCCGACGTGGGACTCGATCCCAGGACGCTGGGATCATAACCTGAGCCGAAGGCAGATGCTTAACCGACTGAGCCACCCAGGCATCCCTCAAACAAATTATTTTTATTTGTTCCCCATATTTATTGCTTCAAGTTGTAGTTTGTCTTAGTTTTTAAGAATTTTCTTATATGATTAAGCAATTTATTGAAGTGCTGAGTACTCTTCACAGTTTATTCTCAAAGCAGAAATCATATTTTCTGCTTGTTTTTATGCTTTTCTGGGAATGGAAATCCTGAGATGGAGCTTGGAAAAAATGGAAATATAACAAAATAAATAGTGTTTTCTAAACTAAATTATTTTACCAAAATAAATTTGGAACAAATGTAGGCATTGGATGACTATTACATAGGTTTAACCATTAACTTATATAGGAAAAGAAAGTTTTTGAAAGAAGGCAGAAATGTACTGCTGAACTTGCAAACCTAAGAAAAATGTGACTAAGTTTTTGTATAGTATCTTGACAAATAGTCTGTCTTTTGGTCGTAGGATTCTGGAAGAATCCACTCGATTTGGCATCCTGGCTGGCACATCTCTAGCAGCACATGATTGCCCAAGGAGAGAGATTAGTGAAGTTACTGTGGAATAGGAAAAGGAGAGCTGGCAAGCGGGAGGCTGTGTGTCTTAGCGTAGTAGCAAGTAGGAGTAGGTTTCTTGTTTGAAACCCTTGAGTATGACTTCAGATTCAGTTTACCCCCATACTGCAGTGGGTAAAATGGTTTCTACTTCCGATATTTAAGAAGATGAAGAAGCATAATTTTTTTAATGATATGTTAATATTTTTTGGTATTGTTGGTCTATTTAAGTTTTGAATTCCTGGAGTTAGGATATGGTGGAGGATGTGTAAGACAGCATTTGAGCTTGAAGTATGTATGTTTTGGCAATTGGAAATTTGGAGTATGTATGCTAATAACTTTTCTTTTTAATTCCAGGCAGTCTTACTGATGAAGGACAGCAGTATTGTTGCAGACTAGTGGAAATGGATTCCAAAAGTGGTCCAGGCTTCATTGGTTTAGGCATTAAAGCATTACAAGACAAAAAGTATGAAGATGCTGTTAGGAACCTAACAGAAGGTAAGTGTACAGTGTAGAGCATGTAATATGAGGTATAGTTGTAACCAAACTCAGGGGTATCACTGCTTGGGGTGCATTAAATTGAACACAACCCAAGGAAGTGTTGAAACAACATTTGTCGCAAGTAAGAAGACGGAAATAGCCCGTAAGGCAGTGTCTTCCTGTGGGGTTAGTACAGGAAACTTTTATTCAGTGCATTAGGGGGCAGGGGTAGAGAGCTGGTGTGTACATTAAGAAACTTAATATATACATATTCTCTTCCCCTGCTTAAAACCTTCCATGGGTTTTCAGCTGCCCTTAGGATAACATGGAAACTCTTCACAAGGTTTGCAACCCTCCCGAGTCTGATTTCTTGCCCTTTCCTGCTCCCATGCTTCATTTTCAAATATAATGAGTCCATATGCTATTAATTAGGCACTTTGGTTGAGCTACAGATGCCTAGCATGTCAGCATGCTAGTGCATACAATGTACGTTCCAAAAATGGCCGAAAACCCCATCCATAGCAATAAATCTTAGTGTTATAATGAGCTATCGGTAACTTCAGGATCGCTCAGATGGACTTTGATGTAGGCCCTCAGCTCCAAAGTGTCTCAGACTGGCTCATGCCAGAGGCTATCCTAGCAGGTTCCTGGGTAGGCTCTGCTGGTTGTGTGAAACAAAACACATTCTTTCCCTTCCCTTTTTGTCCCTTCCCTTCTCTTCTGCTCATAACTTTCAGCCCTCTAATCTGAATAATTCCTCCTTACATCCTAGCTAACATAGTCAGTAGGCAGTTATCTTTGGGCCTTTCTTTGAGGAATGTGTATTTAAAATAGAAGTGAAAAAATATATACTCTAGAGTCTGCTTAGGTCTGGATTCCAACTCTGCCACTCACTAATTTCAAGACCTTGAGAAAAGTAATTAATTCTCTGTCTCAATGTTTTCATTTGTAAAATAAGTATAATTATATATATATATATGTATCCCCCCCCATCCTTAGGAATCTTTAACTTAGTTTTGTTAGGTATGATGTTTCAGGATGAACTTATATTTACATAGATATCTGAATAACAAATACAAGCTTAGGGTAGGAAGAGCATTTCAAGCCAAGAGGTGAAATAGCCTGAGACTGAGAGCACAGCTGGAATTCATGGCAGTTCAACAAGATGTAAGAGTCAAGAAAGGAGACTGGAGAGGGGCCTTACACACTTTGTGAAGGAGTTTGCATGTTATCCTAAGGGCAGCCAGGAACTTGTGGAAGGTTTTAAGCAGGGGAATTTCATAATTCCATTTGTATTTGTACAGCTATTCTGGCTACAGTGTAGAGAATGAATTGGAGTGGGTGGCAAGCCCCTGCAGTGATCTGGGATAAAGATGGTGGAAATGGGAGCTGAAGTAGTCGTGGTAGAGAAATGATTGGGGCATGGAATCAGTGTTTTGAATAATTATATATGAGTGACAAGGGAAAGAAGGGATCTGATTTGGGGAGTAGATGGTGTTGCCATTTTTCTTAGTAGTCATAGAAAGCTTGGATTTTGTGATTGCTTTTTTCCTTTTAGGGTTAAAGGAAAGCCCTCTTTGCACAACTGGATGGTATCATCTGGCAGAAGCCCAGGTTAAAATGCATAGACCTAAGGAAGCTGTTCTTTCATGCAATCAAGGTATTCCTGACATCTGTAAGGGTGGCCAGCCCTATATCTTTTCATATTAAAGGAGAAAAAGATAGTGGTTTAAAGAAACTTATATGCTTTATTTTGTATTTTAAGTTACTAATTTAAATTTCATTGAGGTGGTTAAGTAATGCCAAGTGTATATGCATGTAGTGTATTTTCTTTTAAACTAACAATGAGTGTTTTTCAAAGGATCCTTGCATTTGGAATTTTGACAGTCAGTTTAGGCTTGTGTGGAGGTGCTCTGTCTTTTAACAGGGAAGTTTCTGGTGCGTCCAGGACTTCAGGAATTTTTGATTCCTCTGATACAAATAAGAGAAGTCTTAGGCATATGGAGCCTATTTGAATGTGATCAGATGGGTCACATGAGGGGATAGGAAATCATAAGAGTGGTTCACTGCTCTTGACCTAGCTGGTGGCCTAGCCTCTGTAGTTGAGAAAAACAGTTCACCCTGGTCCATTTAAATTCAACTTCTTTTCCCTCAGTATCCCTCATTTGCTAGGTTTTTTACTGATGCTTTGGCTAAACTTTGTTACATAGCAGATATAGATAGCCATTGTATTTCGGGATGTTCATGTTATGTTACGTAAAGATAGAGATTTTAAATTTGGGTCTGTTTTTTTTTTTTTTTTTAAATGCAGATATTTCCATAAAGAATTCAGGGAAGAATTTATATTTGGCTCTGAATTATTCTTTATGTATATTATTTTGGCAATTTATTCTTATTGTATCTCCAATTTATTATTTATCACCACTAACAAGAAGAAAAAAATGAAGTAATATGGTTGTCTTCATTCAGATGTCCTTAATTTTGTCAGCTCTGAAGAACATAGATAATCTTGGTGTGTCTGGTGGCAGTCTTCATCAGAAGAATCTTTGTCTCCGTTTGAAAGCAGAGGCTTTGATTAAACTCTCAGATTATGAATCTTCAGTGGAAGCAATTTGTACTCTTGATCAGGTAGTCTTACCAGGTTTTTCCCTCCAACTTAATTTTTCCAGTCAACCAGGCATCAACCGCTCTCTCCTTACAAGTATTTGCTTTTAAACAGATTTTGCATTAGAGATATGAATTCACCACATCTGCATTTTCTAAATCATTCACGTACTTGGAAACTACTTAAGTTATTTGTTTGCCTTTTGGTTAAGTACTTACAATATTCTTCATATGATGCAATTTCTTTCTTTAGTCTTGTTCTTATTTTCCTTTTCTCTTTTTGCCCTTAGGCTATTACTACTTGATTATTATTAATTTGGGATTCTAAAAATTTTTTCCTTCAATAAAGAGTTCATAGATTATTGATAAGAACAATGAAGGACACAGTAGCTTCATAGTAGACAGTATTGTTTATTTGTTTTTCAGTTTAATAAAACAGAAGGAGATTAATATTTAAGAAGGAATCCTGTTTCTTAATGTTTTGGGTTCAAGCAATTTGAAAATCCCTGGCAAAAAACTAGTAAATTATGAATTATGACAACATGGTGCTTTTACAGATTTTTGTCAGATAAAGGCCATTTTTTTTAATCTAAAATTAAAATTATATCACTCAGCTTATTGTGGGGTTTTGAATTTTTTTAAAATATCATTGTTTTGTATATTTCAAAGGGCTTTGCATTTCAAAATATTTCATTAAAATTAGAACAGTTGTCAGCATCCTTCAAGAACTAATATCTTAATTTCTTATTTTCTACTTGCCTTCTACCAGTAATGTATTTTGTGTGAATGCTTTGAGGAGGTCTTTCCAATCTTTTTTTTTTTTTTCACACACACACAAAAAGAAAAGTTTCTTAGAGAGCTGATGAAGTCCAGGTCTGAAACAGAAAATGTATAGGATGAGCCCAGGACATCTTAGAATGCTAGAAAGCAAGGAAATTATCAAAGCCTACTAGAATTATATTAGAAAGGCTTAGGAACTACCATGGACAGTACAATTATGTTATATAAAAATGAACTTTTTAGATATATATGCTAAAGTATCAGATGAAAAGTTATAATATCTGGGATAATCTAAGCAGGAGTAGTATAGTGAAATGGGTAGAGAGGTATGGATGAGAAAAGATTGATTTTGAATTAATAATTTAGAAGCTGGATAATGAGTACATGTGGGATTATTGTACTGTTCTAATTTTTTGAAATGTTTTTGAAATTTTCTCTAATAAAAAGGTTACAAAGAATGAATGTATTCATAGTGATAAAAATCAGGACCTGTATGTCTTTACTCCATGCTCTTTTATGGTCATTCCTTAATTAAAGTAAACATTGCTGTTCTGTGTTGAAAGAGACTTAATTTCTTTACAATTATTTTCTAGGTTTCTGATGCAAATAATATCCCAGGACTTTTGGTTCTTAAAAGCTTGGCCTATCTGAACAAAGGCTCATTAGATGAAGCTTCAAAGGTTGTTTTTTTTTCATTCAAACTGGGAATTTTTTGGTGGGGTGGGGGAGGGGCAAAGGGAGAGGAGAGAGAATCTCAAGCAGCCCTACTCCCAGCACAGAGCCTGACTGTGGGGCTCCATCTCACAACCTTGAGGTCATGCCCTGAGCCGAAATCAAGAGTCAGATGCTTAAATAACTGAGCCACCTAGGTTCCCCAAATTGGGAATTTTTTTAAGCTACAAGTGACTTAATTTGGATAAAGAATTGACAGATATCTACTTTATAGATTATGGAAGACCTTCTCTCTTCTTACCCTGACCTAGCTGAAGTTCATGCCCTGGAGGCTTTGATTCATTTTACCAAAAAGGACTATCTACAAGCAGAGAAATGGTAAGGATATGTTTAGGTTGCTTATAGGTCTAGTCATATCTTAATTTATTATGTTTCTCAAAAATTCAAAATGAGTAGGTTTGATAAAGATCTGTTTTGTATAAATTTGATCTGTGTAAGCGTTAGTATTTTTAAGAAATGTTTAACATGTAGCACAGTACCTGTAAGAAAATTCCATAATGGGTATGAAATTTAACTAGCTGATCATAATGGTCAGTGAGTAGATACAGTGTTTAATGTGTCCTCCTAAATGCTTAGCACATTGATAAAGCTAAAAGGCTGTTGTGCTTTTATAAGCTCCTCTTCAAATAGTATTTTTTTCTCATTATAATCTAAATTCTAAAGTAATAACTTACATCTGATTTAGCATCTTTGAATCACTCAAACTTTGTCCCAACTAGGAGTTTCCTACATTGTGTGTGTGTGTGTGTGTGTGTGTGTGTGTGTGTTCTGTGTATCTTTTTACTTCCCTTTGGTGACTTAGTTTTCAGAGAGCTCTTGAGAAAGATGCTGAAGTTGCTGAATATCATTACCAACTTGGGTTAACATATTGGTTCATGGATGAAGAAACAAGAAAAGATAAAACAAAGGCTCTTACCCACTTTCTAAAGGTAAAACAAATGCTACTATTCAATACTTAGTTGAAATGGATTTGTAATAAAATCATAAATAATAATCATATAAGTTAGGCACTTAAAATTACTGTTTTCTGAACTGTTTTTCTTTTTTTTTTTTTAATTTATTTATTTTAGAGAGATGGTGAGAGCATAAGTGGGAGGGACAGAGGGAGAGGGAGAGAGAATTTAAGCAGGCTTCATACTCAGCATTGAGCCCGATGCGGGGCTCCGTCTCACAACCATGAGATCTTGGACCTGAGCCAAAACCAGGAGTCGGACGCTTAACCGGCTACGCCACCTAGGCACCCCTGAACTGTTTTTTGTTTTTGTTTGTTTTTTAAACTGGACTTTTTATGGTGTTTCATCTCTTACACATTAGGTTTTGTGAGAATGTTATGTGAATTTTCAAGGAGAAAATAAAAAATGTAAAAGTTACTTATTTCAGAAACACACATTATAGAAGATGAGACATAATTATCTTTGGAGAAAAATATTGTTTTTAGGTAATTTCCACTGTAATGTGGGCATATATACTTCTAGATGTTTAATTTCTTATAGTTTATTTTATTTATTTAAAGATTTTATTATTTGACAGAGAGAGAAAGAACACAAGTAGGCAGAGTGGCAGGCAGAGGGAGAGGGAGAAGTGGCTCGATCCCAGGACCCTGGGATCATGACCTGAGCCGAAGGCAGATGCTTAACGACTGAGCTACCCAGGCGCCCTGAATTTCTTGTATTTTAGATGTTAAAGATCTAAAAGTCTTACATGCTTATCTTGATGCATAAAAGAAGGTTAATGTAATAATAACTCTAATTTCACATTTCTTTTTAACAAAGAAATAATATTTTTACACTTGTTTGCATTCTACAAGCAGTGACATCCAGCTTTCCTGTTGCTTTAAATCTTACATTAAGGGATGTGTTGGCATATTTTTGTATGTTTAACAAAAGTGTTCTATTTTTCTTTTAACCTGTGTATTTATCTTGTGTGTTTTTAAAAAGAACCTCACAGACAAACTTTAATATTGTGTTACTATCAATCTTTATCTCAAAGGCTGCCAGACTGGATACATACATGGGCAAAGTTTTCTGCTATTTAGGTCATTACTACAGAGATGTGGTAGGAGATAAAAACAGAGCCCGTGGCTGTTACAGGAAAGCTTTTGAGTTAGATGATACTGATGCTGAATCTGGAGCTGCAGCAGTTGACTTAAGTGTGGAGCTTGGAGAGATGGTATGTCCAGTAACTTAAACACTTTTGCCTTTTTATCCTGGGTATAGAAATGGAAATATTTTTATATGTGTGTCCTTGAAAGTTTTTATTTTTTATTTTTCTTTGTAGATGCAATAGAAATATTTTTGCCACTGTTTATGGAGTAAATTTTCTTTTCATTGGCAGACATTACATTACTCATCACTTACTTTTGAAACTGTAGTTGAGTATATACCAGTGTAAGTTTAAAAATTAGGAAGTGGTAAATGAAAATACATTTGGGTACTTTACATAGGTGTTGTGTATTTTTATGATATTTGAGATGTCTAATATTAGTCTTTTATTAATTTCAGGAAACTGCCTTAGCTACCCTAACAACAGTAACTCAAAAGGCAGGTGCTGGAACGGCAAAATGGGCCTGGCTTAGGCGAGGACTATACTATTTGAAAGCTGGTCAGCATTCTCAAGCTGTGGCTGAGTAAGACACCTTAGTATATTTAAACTATTAGTGTATTGGTTCCTTAAATTAAACTCTATTTATACCCAAAGTGGACTTTACAAGTTGCCTCATTCCAGGTTATATTTTAAGAGAAGAAACAGCAAAATTTATTTATAGTTGATTGGTTCCTATTATCTGCAAGGCACTGAAATTGCAAAAATGAATTAAATGTTGTCCAGTTGTTAAGGAGTTGGCCATTCTAACGAAGTGAATCTTCCTAGTGTTGTACATATAATAGGTTCTCAGTGGAAACTTAAGGAATGTTAAAAAGCTGAGGCTGATACCTTTGTTGTTCTCCCAATGGCATGCTTTGTTTTGGGGCAGGAGATACATTTGCCAGCTTCACGTGCATGTGGTGCAGCTCCTTTTTGGTTATTTGGTTTGAACTATACTTAATAAATGAAATAGGGGATCCTGACTGGCTCAGTTGGTGGAGCATGCGACACTTGATCTCAAGGTTGTGAGCTTAAGCCCCATGTTAGGCATAGAGCTTACTTTAAAAAAAAAAGAATACATAAAATAAATTTAATAATAATAAACACATAATAATAATAAGATAGGTGAAGGGGATTAAGTGGTACAGACTTCCCATTGTAAAATAAGTAAGTTCACAGGGATGAAAAGTACAGCATACGGAATATAGTCAATCATGTTGTAATAACTTTGGTGACAGGTGGTAACTACACTTATCAACTACACTTATCATGGTGAACATTTCATAGTGTCTGTAAATTTCAAATCAGTATGTTATACACCTGAAACTAATATAATATTTTATGTCAGCTGTACTTCAATTTAAAAAAATGAAAAACAAAGACTTTGTGTTTACAAGGAAGTGTAACAGAGCCTTGGCATTTCCTAGTAATGAGAATATAGCATCTCTCTATCAATTTAATTAAGTTTTTTTTTAAAGATTTTATTTATTTGAGAGAGAGAGAGTGAGCGAGAGAGAGCATGAGCAGGGGGAGGGGCAGAGGGAGACACAGACTCCCTGCTGAGCAGGGAGCCTGAAGCGGGACTTGATCCCAGGACTCTGGGATCATGACCTGAGCCGAAGGCAGACGCTCAACCGACTGAGCCACCCAGGCGTCCCTCAGTTTAATTAAGTTTATAAGACCTCAGTCTGTATATAAAGTTTTTTGGTTATACTACGAGAGATAAATTTCATTTATTACTACAGTCACACTAAAAACTTAAAATGAATACTTAAATGTGAATGATCACAATTAATTATAAGCCTTGTATATTTTCTTTATAGACAGGAAAAGAAAGTACCTTTTTTCTGAACCTAACAAATTGTTGTAGCAGTTATTTTTTCCCTCTAATTTGTGAAAACATTAACAAATATATATATATGTATATATGTGAATGGAGAAAAAGTTTCTGATTTAGGTCAATACCTAGAATACTGTGATATTTCTGTTTTGGTGGAAGGATCAGTGGGGGATTATTAATTGTCATGAGGCATATGGAGATATATACCTATTTTGGTGGGAAACTGGCATTCTTCCACATAGTCAAGGAAAAAAATTCTGGCCAGTGCTTGTTTGAAAAATATTTTGTTCTTATTCATTCCAAATTTGTAATAAAATTTTTTAGTATTAAAATATTCAAGTTATAAAAAGTATGTTCAGGTTGTAAAAGGAACAGGTATATCTGCTTTATTTATTTATTTTTTTTCAGATTTATTTATTTGAGAGAGAGAGAGAGTGTGCATGAGGGGACTGGGGAGGGGCAGAGAGAGACAGAATCTGAAGCAGACTTCCAGCTGAGTGTGGAGCCCAAGACAGGGCTCAATCCCACAACCCCAAGATCATAACCTGAGCTGAAATCAAGAGTTGTCGCTCAACCGACTGAGCCACCCAGTTGCCCCTTATACTTGTTTTAAATAGCACTTTCATAAATAGAAGGAACTATGGATATATGTGATTCAGTTGAATTATTTATTTTATATTTTCTTTTCAGATGTGGAAGTAGTTCTTTTACTTTCAGTTCTCTTACTATTTACTGAAATTTTAGTTTACAGGCAGCATTAAGGGCAGACCCAAAGGACTTCAATTGTTGGGAGTCACTAGGAGAGGCATACTTAAGCAGAGGTGGCTATACAACAGCCTTGAAATCCTTCACAAAAGCCAGTGAGCTGAACCCAGAATCCACATACAGTGTGTTTAAGGTTGCTGCAATACAGCAAATCCTAGGCAAATATAAGGAGGCGATAGCTCAATACCAGCTGATCATTAAAAAGAAAGAAGACTATGTGCCAGCTTTGAAAGGTAATTTTTTAATACTTCCTTGACTTTTGTGATACTGGAGTCTAAAATCCTTTAGTAAACTTCCTGAATGTATTTCGTAACCTGAAAAGGACTTCTTTAGTCAACAGCAAGTGTCTTCTTTCATGGACCTCTTATAGTATGACTTGTTATATAGATTTGAATATAGAAAGAGCAGATCTTGTTTTCTAACAATAAATTAATAGTAATATGATAAACATTTAACTTTTAGATCAAATAGCATGGTAGCTATTTAATGGAGCTCTAAAACAAGAGTTTCCCTGCTCTTATATTTTAATACTTAATTCACTTTATCTTCAGAATATCTCAATACCTTTTAATTACTTCTTAACTTATAGATTTTTTTTCATTTTTTGAACGTTAGGGACAACTTACATTGTTTTGTAATACCTAAATTAATTTCAGTTTCTCCGTATATACTTACTCCTTAACAAAAGATTTTTGGTAATATAAAGTAAAACACCACCATCCATATATAATCTAAATCTTATATGATTATATCTAACCATTTTTAAAAAACCTGGAGCCCATTATATGTCCTTTATTCCATTTCTTTTTCTTTTTTAAGTGAAACAGTTGGGGTTTAAGTCAGAAATAGTATATGTTGTAAGTGATACATAACTTAGGTCTTGGAAACTTTTTTTTAAATTTTGTAAAACTTTCCGCAAGAGAAGAATTCACATTTATTAAATCTTTAGGAAATTGCTATTTCGTTTAATTTTTACAGTGTTGTTTGCTATACAGTTTTGAATATAAAAAGATCAAATCTTGTTTCACAATAGTTAATAAATAGTAATATGAAGGAGAAAAGCATTTAGTAGCATTTTCAAAGCTGAGGTTTTGAATTAAGTAACTTACCCAAAGTCAAGGAAATTCTTTTCCATAGATTTTTATCACTTTTAGTATATATTTACTCCAACAGAACCCTGCCATTTGAATTCCATACAAATGTATGCCAGACCATACTTAAAGATAATTTTTATACAATACTACTGAGTTTTGTTTTCTGGAAAGTGGCTTTAATATCACATCACTACGTTTTTATCAACTTTATTCTAAGTGTTTCTTGTGTGTGTTTTAATAACTATAAACTTAACCTGATTTTAGGTTTGGGTGAATGCCATCTCATGATGGCAAAAGCGGCTCTAGTTGATTATCTTGATGGGAAAGCTGTAGACTACATAGAAAAAGCACTGGAATATTTTACTTGGTTAGTATTATTCTTATTATTCATTGTGTTTATTATCTTAGAATTATAATAAAGCTGAGGTTAGAAAATCTTTCTGCATTTATTCTGTTAGATAAAGCAATCATTATTCAGAATATCAAACATATAAGATGCTAGCCAATAAATTCAATAATATACATATTGTATTAATTTTGCATTGGAGAACAGATACTATTTCTTGCTCCTAGTAGCAGCTGACATGCTAGATGAATGGGGAAGGGTGGGAAGGAAGAAGCAGTCTGTCAGGGGAGTGACAGCTTGGATGTAATGTATCAGTGTTACATTCCATAGTAAGGGCCTGTTTTAGGTATATTGGTAGGGCTGAAGATGAGGGGAAATGAGCAATCTCATTGTTCCTGGAGAGAATCTGTGAGGGAAAAAAAGTGATGTGTAATACTAAGGGAATCAGAAAAATTTGAGTAAATCTGGTATTTTATAGAACTGTAAATTCATTAGCGAAATAGAAGTGTTATTTGTTAGATGATTTTTAAAAGTCTGTTACACATACATTTGAATTTTTTTTTTTTCTTAGACGTCTTTCTTGTGCTCCCCTTCCTTTCTTTTCCTACTTGCCTTCTCTTCTGGTTCCTGTTGATTTGGTTGCTCCAGAATTTATTTTCTTTGAGTATGAACCAAATATGAAAAGAAAACCTTAGCCTTTTCTCTCCCACAGATTTTTATTGCTACTTTTCAAGTCTCACATAATACAGATCTTTCCAAATAGGGGAGGGTATTGTGAAGAGGGCATGCTTCGTTTGAACTGGTATTTAAGAGTAAATGTGAACCTTTCAGTGATGATACTTGAGGTACAAACACAGCCTTTCTGACAGTGGGAAATTTTGTTCTGGGTAGCATGTAGCATTCACAGCCAACTAAATGGAGGTCTATAAAACTTTTTAAGTGATAATCTCCAAATTTATGTTTACTTCTAGACTTAAAAGTTCATATTACTACAATTCTTATGTAAGGGTGATAGAAGTTATTTTATAGATTTTTTTTTTATTGAACTTTAAAGGAAATAAGAATTCAGGCTGTTGAAATTGCCTCTGTTTCTCTTTTTTCCCCGTTTTCTTCTTTCATGCTGTCAATTTTATTTTATTTTATTTTATTTTATTTATTTTTTTAAAGATTTTATTTATTTATTTGTCAGTGAGAGAGAAGGGAGAGAACACAAGCAGAGGGAGAAGCAAGGCTCCTCACTGAGCAAGGAGCCCGATGCGGGACTCGATCCTGGGACTCCAGGATCATGACCTGAGTTGAAGGCAGTCACTTAACCAACTGAGCCACCCAGGTGCCCCCTTATTTTTTATTTTTAGGTATTTTTATTTTATTTTATTTTACCTTTTTTCACTACAAGTGTATTCTTTAATTCCCCTCCCCCCCCCGCCCATCTCCCCATTCCCCGACCCACCACCCCTCTGGTAACCATCAGTTTGTTCTCTATAGTTAATAGTCTATTTCTTGGTTTGTGCCTTTTTTTTTTTCTTTGCTTGTTTGTTTTGTTTCTTATATTTCACATATGAGTAAGATCATATGGTATTTGCCTTTCTCTGACTGACTTATTTCACTTAGCATTATACTCTCTATCATGCTGTCAATTTTAGAAATTATGCTAAGATATTTAGGCAGAGGAACTACAAATAGTGTTGTCCTTCCTCCTGATCCTCACAGTGGGCTTTCAGCGATGACTGCCATAATTTATCTTATTTCTCAGGAAGATATTGGAAAATGATTTTTGGCTGGACTCTTTTAGTAGAAAAGGCTATGAGAAATGTTCCATCTGCTTGTCCATCTGCCAGTAGCATAGCTGATTATTGAGACTTGGCTTAATTGAAATTGTCGTGTTTTATTTATAAGATCTTGAGGAGAGAAAACTGAAGAGAAATGGATAGCTGAGATTTTTCTCATTCTAAAAGAAGTGACCTTTATCACCATAATTGATTTTTTTATTTACTCTTTTAAGCTTGTGCATGCAGTTTTATTTGCTTCAATAAATATGGGTTTTCACATTTTCATATTTAGCTTTTAGGTAATCTTGGTCTCAGAGAATAAAAATCCTTTGGACCACCAAATATATTTAATATATTATACATTTACCAGACTTTTTTATTTGACTGAAGATCAACAAGCCAAAACATGAGTTTAGAATAATTAACTGTGAGAGAGTTACCGACTTGACTACTTTGGTTATTGTTTAAAAAGACAAATATAGAGAGCATAGTTAAAAAACGTTCAGTCTTAATGGTGAATTGGTCCTGGAAAATTTATTGACATATTGATTATATGATTTCTGCTACTTCTAACAAAAATGGTGAAGAGTACCAAAGAGATGTTTGCAAAATTTCTGGCATTTAAAATAATCAGTTTTCCTTCCCTCCCTTCCTTTCTGCTTCCTAATAGGGAGATGATAAGATGTTATCCATTTAGAAAGAATTTAGTAAAGCATTCACTGCACTTAACCAAGGAAGTAATTCGTAATTAAGATTGTAATGAGAGAGATAAATTTCCTATTGTTTGGAAAAAAATATAAGAATCACACTGTTTATTTTTTTAGGGCTCTGCAGCATCAAGCTGATGTGTCTTGCCTTTGGAAGCTAGTTGGGGATGCTTGTACCAGTCTGTATGCTGTCTCACCATCTAAAGTGAACGTTAATGTTTTAGGAATCCTTCTAGGTCAGAAAGAAGGAAAACAAGTATTAAAGAAGAATGAGCTTCTCCATCTTGGAGGAAGGTAATTTACAAAGATTGCTAGTTAATGACATTCATTTTGAATTAGGACATTTTAACAAAACGTTACATTTATTTTTATATTTCCATAGGTGTTATGGCCGTGCGTTAAAACTGATGTCTACATCTAATACGTGGTGTGATCTTGGAATTAATTATTATCGCCAAGCACAACATCTAGCAGAAACAGGCAACAATACAAATGATCTTAAAGAGTTGTTGGAGAAATCTTTACATGTATGGTTTTGAGAAATTTTTTATAAACTTTTTAAAAAACTAAGTGCTTTTCTGATAGATGTTTTTGATAAAGTAGATACTATCGTGTTTTCACATAAAACCACATTTATCTTGATATAAATGCTGCTGTTCCAAGATATAAAAATTAATCTAATTTTTTTCAGTGTCTGAAAAAGGCAGTGAGACTTGACAGTAAAAATCACTTATACTGGAATGCTCTTGGTGTGGTTTCATGTCACAATGGTAAGAACTGAGTAACACTTCAATATTTTTAGAAGATTGTTTTAGGTAATAAAGTTCAGTTTCATCAAATTCTGTATTTTTCAGGTATTGGAAATTACGCCCTTGCTCAACACTGTTTCATCAAGTCTATCCAATCGGAACAAATTGTGGGTGTTCTTTGTATCTATCTATGATAAAGAACTCCAAAATTTAGTGTTAATAATTTTCTGAGACTGCCATGTAGGCAGGAACCTAATTGTATATATATGTTTTTTAGAATGCTGTTGCATGGACCAACTTGGGAGTGTTATACCTTGCAAATGAAACCATTGAGGTAAATGTGTTGTCTGTTTTTGTCACTTTAAAAGTAAAAGCGTTCTGTATATATGACCTCTTTGTAATCACTCAGCTTCTTGTGGAGAATTACTTTGAGTATTATTGTCTATTCTGTATGCCCTCCTGTATGCTAGATAATTGATGACATTTGGTTTATTACATATATGAATAGTGAATGTGTAAGATTTATTTTCCTTTCCACACAACTGAAGAAATTTTGGTTTTATAATTGTGTTGGGTTTTCATTTAAAGATTAAAACAATTCTGTTATGAATTATTTGGGTGTTTTTCTTTTTATCTGTACACGTGTAAGAGGAGCCCAGTGTAGGCTCTGTTAGGGTTGGGGTGAGGAAGTCACGGGGATGATTAGTACTGTCTTGCAGCTTAAGCTTAATCTATGCTTGGGTGATTTCGATTGGGCTTTAGTGGATATTAATTCCTTTAGATGCCACAATGTAATTTTCATACTTGAACAGTTATATATTAGAGAATTGGAAATACAGTAATTGGAAACGTGTTTGTAGCATGTTTAGAAGTTTCCATAAATCTGTAGATGATAGCGCATCTGTACTGTTTTGTGTTTCAGCTATTATATTGAATATCGTCCTTTTAAAATAGCTTCAGTAATATTTTCAGGATAAATTAACTCACTGCAAAGATTGCTTCAGAAGACTGTAAATAGAATGAAGGAGAATATCAATTTGGGACTTAAAATATGTGAAAATATTTTTAAAAATTTAAACAAAGCTAGATATTAGTTAATAAGCTATGAATATAGTTTTATGATAGCACAACTCAGTTGCCATCCATGAGCTTCCTTTTTCATAAGAAAAATAAGACTGTTTCCTGTTGCATATAGATTATTGAGTAAACAGGATAAGGCAGCATATAACAGTGTTTGTAGCAGAAAAATAAGCACGCAACTTAATGTGCCCAAGTGAGGTAGCTTTAAAGTTTCCTAACTGCTTAGCACAGATTTATGTTGATCATTCTTTTTTTGCCCAGTAGCAGATACATGTCATAGACCTCATTGTTAGTTTTTATCCTACCAGTTAAGCTTCAGGAGAGGGCAATAGATACTTCTGCCTGTGGCTAGCAAATGGATGGGTGATTAGTTAAAAGTTCTCCAGACTATGAGGTGCATCTCTCTATTGTCCTTTCACTGGGGACCAGAACCCCTAAGCCTGTAGAGAGATCGGTTGTACCCACGAGTTTTTAGGACTATGTAGTTAAAACACAGTTTTAAACATTGCTAGTTGTGTTTAAACGATGAAGTTTTAGATTTATAAGTGTTTATGTTGACAAGTATGACTTAATTCTCTTATGCTTTTTAGTTTAGTACTAAGTTAATAAAATGACATATGTTATTTTTTTGACTTTTTTTCGTAGCAAGCTCATGAAGCTTTCAAAATGGCTCAGTCTCTTGATCCGTCTTATTTAATGTGCTGGATTGGACAAGTAAGATATATATATTTATTAATAATTCTAAGATATAAACAACCTATTAATATGTAAAGTGGTATAAGTAACCTATTAATACAAATAACAATGATAATAATGATAACAGGTAACATTTGAGGACTTCCTTTGTGCCAGTCACTGTGCTAGTCTCTTTGTATATATTATTTCAGTTAGTCTTTCATCGATCCTTTGAGATGGTGGTTGTTATTAAACTTCTCATGGATGGGGAAATTGAAGTTTAGAGATCCTGAGTATTGTGCCCAAGGTCATACAACTTGTAATGATTAAGCTTTGATCTGGGGGGCTTTGAGCCCCATTAGTCTGACATTAATGCTAAAAAACAAAACCAAACCAGAACTCTGTTATTTAAATGCACATTTACCAAAAAAATTAAGATTGGCAAAGATCATTTTGATTATGTTTTCCCATTATCTGTAAAATCTTTATATTTGATTTGATGCTTGTTTATGAGTATTGTTCCTCTGTTCCCCTGAAGTTTAGATTTGTGTATTGCCATATAGGAATCAGGATACTTGGTTACGAATGTGAGTCCGTCACTGACTGATTATTTTATCTTAACATATCACTGCTAGATTTCATTTTTCTAACTTGAAAAAGAAGGAGCTTGGCTGAGTGGCCTCCAGGGTCTTACCTAGTTGAGTTGTAATGATACATTAGTAAGTGGTTGATTGTTTTGGTTCAGAGAATAGCAGGAGTATCACCCATCTCAAGAAATCAATAATCAGAATTTAGATATGTTTTATTCTACTTTTGACTTTTGGGTCAAATTCTAGTTAATTGGTGAAGCAAACAGAGTTAGAAAGGTAACTCTGTGAACTGTGGTTCTATGAACTATGATAGCATCTGGGAGCAATGGCATTATTACTAATCTCTGTGTAAGTTATTGGACTCAAGGGGCCCAAGAGTTTGCATTTCTAACTGTTCCCAGGTGCTGGTTCTGGTCCAGGGACTTGACTTTGAGTAGTACTGCTCTAGGTCAGGAGATTTTGGATGCTAATCAGAGCCACCTAAGTATTTTTTTTTTTAATTTTTCAATTCTTTTTATTCTTTTTTTTTAAAGATTTTATTTATTTATTTGACAGAGAGAGAGAGAGACACAGCGAGAGAGGGAACACAAGCAGAGAGAGTGGGAGAGGGAGAAGCAGGCTTCCCACAGAGCAGGGAGCCCAATGCGGGACTCAATCCCAGGACCTTGGGATCATGACCTGAGCCGAAGGCAGACGCTTAACAACTGAGCCACCCAGGCGCCCCTCAATTCTTTTTATTCTTAAAAATAATTTATTTCAGACATTAACTGGTAGATTTAATTAAAATGGTAACAGTAAAAGTAAGACCTAAAATTATTTCTTAAATAATATTAGTAATGTATGATAACTTTAAAAACGTGAATTTTTTTTATAAAAGATAGATGAGTTTGAAAGTAATTTTAACTTATCTCATAGTCTATGAAGTTAACGGCATAGGTGTGTTATTTAAAATTCTGAGGCACTTTTGGGGTGCCTGGGTGGCTCAGTCGTTAAGCGTCTGCTTTCGGCTCAGGTCATGATCCCAGGGTCCTGGGATCAAGCCACGCATCGGGCTCCCTACTCTGTGGGAAGCCTGCTTCTCCCTGTCCCACTCCCCCTGCTTGTGTTCCCTCTCTCGCTGTCTCTCTCTCTGTCAAATAAATAAATAAAATAAATTCTGAGGCACTTTCAAAAAATAAATATGTTGAGACTCTACCCCAGGTCTGTGGAAACTAGAAAGCTAGGGGTAAGGACCTCCTTTTTAAAAAAAAGCTTATCTAGGTGAATCTGAGGTGATCCTAAGATTAAGAACCCTACTCCAGACAAATACCAGTATGAATGCATCAAAGGTGAAAGGGAAGGGAGAAGTTAGTGCAGCTTCATCAGTGTTCTGAGGAATTTTATGTGGATTATTCCACCATTACCTGGTTGCAGATGGAATTTTGAAAGCATATGCCAGCTTAAGGGCCAATTTAACAAGTCATTCTGGTCCTCTGAGCCATGGGAATATAGTGGCTAAGATTAAAAAAGAAATTAGCTCGGGCACCTGGGTGGCTCAGTTGGTTGAGCGACTGCCTTCGGCTCAGGTCATGATCCTGGAGTCCCAGAATCGAGTCCCGCATCGGGCTCCCTGCTCAGCAGGGAGTCTGCTTCTCCCTCTGACCTTCTCCCCTCTCATGTACTCTCTCTCTCTCTCATTCTCTCTCTCAAATAAATAAATAAAAAATAAAATCTTAAAAAAAAATAAATTAGCTCTGCTTTCAAGCATAGCTAGTATACCTATGAATCTTCTAAATAGTTTCACTTATTGTTATTATTCCTTTTAAACACATGAAGAACCTCTTTTTTCCTTTTCTAGGCTCTTATTGCAGAGACTGTTGGAAGTTATGACACAATGGATCTTTTCAGGCACACTACAGAACTCAGTATGCATGTAAGAATTTGACCATTCTTGAGGATTCATTAATGAATAAAGTATTATACTTGTTGAGAAAATGAATACAGAGCAGTATCAGATGTTAATAACAGCAGTTGTCTCTACTCTTTATTCTGTCTTAGAAACAGATAAAGCTGTCTTTAAAGAACTTCTCATTTTTGTCTTCTGTTATCTTTCAAAAGCTAATAAAGAAATGACATGGAATTTAATAGATATAGGAGTCTTGCAGAATTGAAACTGAGACTCGAGGACAAAATCAACGTGAGATAAGGACTAGACTTGGTTGACATTTCTTGATTATGAAGTGTTTTAGAATCCTTTTGATTGGTAATTATTAGTTTTATCTGTAAGAATGGTGCTGAGAAGAAGGAAATCAGCCCATTGGGTGATGCTCTGTTTTCTGCACTTTATTTAAATCCCATTTGGTTCTTCTACTTAGGGTTGGAGCAAGTAATTTAAAAATGCTCTTAGCTGTGTTGAATCATAGTGACTCTTCATTTAAAGGCACTTAGCAGTTGACTTAAGACTAAGATGTGATATTTACTGCATTGAAGTCTACTGTTTTATAATTTTTATTGGTATGTTTATTACCCTATGTTTACTTGTTAACTTTGTCTTTTTTATAGACTGAGGGAGCAATAGGTTATGCGTACTGGGTCTGTACAACATTGCAAGATAAAAGCAACAGAGATACAGAGCTGTACCGGTACAACATTGTTCAGATGAACGCTATTCCAGCAGCCCAAGTTGTTTTGAGTAAATACATAGGTAAGGTGTTCAGTATTTGAATAACCATTGAAACAATTGAGTTTTTAAAATTAGTTAATTCCAACTTAAATATTAGTGTTCCTTAAGACATGAATTTGCCTTTTTTTTCCTCCCAGTGGCCAGGCAGTCTACTTTTCAGATTATAGTAATGACTCTTGAAGAGTGATGAAAATTTCTCTTACCTAATGCTTACAATAAAACTGATTTCCGTGTTGTAGTGGAAAGCATTTTGGAGCCTGATGGGCCTGAGTTGCTGCTGTTCTCTCTCTGCCATTTATTTCTCTGCAGTCTTAGGCCAAGTATTTTATTACTTCTCTTAACTTCTGTTAGCCTTGTAAAGTAGAGATAATAATTGCTAGGTGGTAGACATGTGAAAATTAAGTGTGATAATCTGCTTTAAATTCCAAAACTAGTGTGTTTAACCTCCTACTTTAACACCTGATTTTTCTTCAGGATACTGGAAAAATACATTTAGGTTTAGGAAAAGGACAGAATGGTGAAGTTTCATTAAACTTCTATTGTAATAATTTCCTTTCTTCCTTAAAAAAACTACCAGTTTTTTTTTTTTTTTAAGATTGTATTTATTTATTAGAGAGAGAGAGACAGCGAGAGAGGGAACACAAGCAGGGGGAGTGGGAGAGGGAGAAGCACGCTCCTCGCCAAGCAGGGTGCCTGATGCGGGGCTCCATCCCAGGACCCTGGGATCATGACCTGAGCCGAAGGCAGACACTTAACGACTGAGCCACCCAGGCGCCCCAAAACTACCAGTTTTATTACCAGTTTAATCTTGCCATTTGCAGCAACATGAATGGAGCTTCAAAGTATAATGCTAAATGAAATAAGTCAAATAGAGACAAATAGTCAAATAAGTCAAAGGAGAAAGACTTAAATACCAGGTGATTTCACTCAAATGTGGAATGTAAGAAACCGAACAAATGAACAAAGTTAAAAAGCAAGAGAGGTGACAAACCAAGAAACAGACTCTTAGCTATAAAGAACAAACTGATGGTTACCAGAGGGGAGGTGGGTGGGGGTTGGGTGAGATAGGTGATGGGGATTAAGGAAGGTAGTTGTGAGGTGGGGGCGGGGGAGGTGGGGGATGGAAAACTACCAGTGGGTTTTAATCTCTACTCCGCCTCTTAGTAGCTATAATGATAGCTTGGGCATATTAACAAATTGGATTTTAGTTTTCTCATGTGTAATATAAGAATGAAAGTATTACTTAGAGTTTAATGGGATGATTTATAGAAAATGTTTTGCAGAGTACCTGGCATACCCTAGATGCTCAAGAAATGTTAGTTTCACTAGTCTTTTATTTATCCCTTGACAAATAAAGAAGCAAGAAGTTTAAGCAGGCTCAGGGACAGTTGAATATTATGAAGAATCAGATAAACTGAAAAGCAGAAGAGAAAATTTCTCATCGTAGGTATGAAGAGGATTGTAATACTCTTCCTGCATTGAACCTGAGATACTTGAGCAGAAGACAGTTGACAAACATCAGCACTTCAGAGCCCTACATGTTTTGCAGTATGCCAAAATGAACGGCTCTAAAGAATATCTAGAGCCTCTGCGAGAGTGTATGGGTCAGAAATTTTACTGTGAAGTTTCCATAAGAATGGGTAACATTTGTAAAGGATTTACATAGCTAAAGAAATCTTTAGCTTTCTACAAAATTCAGATACCTAGAACAATGAACACAGAGTTCCTTGACAGTTATGCATAGCCTAGTTTTTTACCTTATAGTGGAGCCATATCACATACTCATTTAAATTCAACTATATGTGGCTTTGCCATAAGTGAATGAATGAACAGATGAATAAGTAAGAGAGAGGAAGGAAGGAGAAGAAAAGAGAGAGGGGGATCAGAGAGTATGCAGGCAGTCTCATTGTCTTGCTGACAGTTTGCCTCAGAGTGAGTGTGCTGGGAAGGCATGAATCTCTTAGTTTGACTCAGTTTGGTGTCCCTCTCTTTTGTGACTTCAGGAGTTTTCAAGAATAACTTTGACTATATAATTTTCACTTTGTGCTTTACCTTTGGAGCCTGCCCATCACATAAATTGTGACTGCACTGTAATTTGTTAAACAATTTAAGGGGTTTGAAGGCTTATTTCCCAATACTACTTTTAAGTAAATCAGATGTGTTTCTCTGTATGTTAGTACATACATGATGTTTTTTGACATTAAAATTTCAAAATACTGCATTGAAAGTGTCCAAGTCATCCTGGGTTTCTAGTGTACAATACTGAGTTTATTTTTTATTGTTTTTAAAGATTTTATTTATTTTTTGAGAGAGAGAGAGCGAGAGAGGGAACACAAGCAGGGGGAGTGGGAGAGGGAGAAGCACGCTCCTCGCCAAGCAGGGTGCCTGATGCGGGGCTCCATCCCAGGACCCTGGGATCATGACCTGAGCCGAAGGCAGACACTTAACGACTGAGCCACCCAGGCGCCCCAAAACTACCAGTTTTATTACCAGTTTAATCTTGCCATTTGCAGCAACATGAATGGAGCTTCAAAGTATAATGCTAAATGAAATAAGTCAAATAGAGACAAATAGTCAAATAAGTCAAAGGAGAAAGACTTAAATACCAGGTGATTTCACTCAAATGTGGAATGTAAGAAACCGAACAAATGAACAAAGTTAAAAAGCAAGAGAGGTGACAAACCAAGAAACAGACTCTTTTTTTTTTTTTAAGATTTTATTTTTTTGGGAGAGAGAGAGAATGAGAGAGAGAGAACACAAGCAGGGGGAGTGGGAGAGGGAGAAGCAGGCCTCCCGCTGAGCAGGGAGCCCGATGTGGGGCTCGATCCCAGGACCCTGGGATCATAACCTGAACCGAAGGCAGACGCTTAACGACTGAGCCACCCAGGCACCCCTGAGTTTATTTTTTTTTAAACACATAGAAATTGGAACAGAACCACCAAGAAAATTGCAGGAAAGTTTAAGTGATTAGCCAAAGAACTGAATTTCCTTATAAATCTTATGACTAATGTTAACATGAGCTACAATTTCAAATTATTACACCTTTGGGGATAAAAATGTTTAGACTTTAAGGTGTAACTAGAAACTATAAATAATTATGAAATACTCAATAATTTAGAAGTTATAAAATGATCACTGGTATTTTATAATCAATATAAAAAATATAGTTTTATAATAAATATAAAACTATTCTTAACAATGCCAGTAGTCTTAGGAGGTAATCTGGTGTCTAAGATATTGAAAATAAAACTAGCATTTTACAAACACAACCAGCATGCACATGTAAAGAAAAGATATTTTTGGATTTTCAGAAAGAATTCAGAATTATGCTCCAGCTTTCACAATGTTGGGTTACTTAAATGAACATCTACAACTGAAAAAGGAAGCCACAGATGCATACCAAAGGTAAACTCTACATTTAATTAAAAGTGGTCCTTATTTATTAGTTGGCCTTTTTTTATTTAGTCTCAGTTCATGAAGAAGGTACTAAACAAATGTTCTGATTCCTTTCCTGATCTCTTCTATTATTATTACATCTCTGAAGATGAAAAGACACAGTTTTAAATTTTCAGCTATATTTGGGTTTCTGTTGCTCAATCCAAGAGAGGGACAGAGAGGAAAAAAAACAAAAACCAAACTAAAAAATCTCTCAGATTTTGTTTTAGAAAAACAAAATTTTCATTTGAGACTTAGACCAAGTTTTCACTTTAGACTTTGTCTAGCTTTATAAAAAAACACGTAGGTTCATTCAGAAAAGAAATGAGAACCTTATGATATATTTGTTTGAATTTAAGATCTATATTTTATTCACTCAGTAGTTTTTGAACTGCTTTGTGCCAAGCATTGTCCTTGGCACTGGCAATTTAGCAGCAAAATAAAACAGACACAGGCTCCATTCTCATGGAGTTTCTGTTCTGGTGGTGGGGAGACATATGATAAGCTTATAAACATCTATGATGGTAATAATTGCTAAGAAAGAAAATCAAAATGGGGTAAAGGGCCAGGGAATATTAAGGCAGGTAGTGAATTTGAGACAGGTTTAAGAGTGATAGGTTTCCTAAGGAGGCGGTTGACCCTTGCCTGAATGAAGTGAGGCTCTAAGCCATTGGTTAAGAGGCAAGAGCATCCAGGCAGAAGGAATAGCAAGAGCAAGTGCTCTGACACAGGAGTGGACTTGGTGTGTTGAAGAAACAAGGACAGTGTGCTCGAGTGAAACAGCCAACCAGGAGGGGGGTAGGAAATGAAATCAACTTGAAGATTTATTCTCTGCAAATGAATTGATTGGTAAATAAGAAAATTATTAACATTGTGAATACTAGGTGAAAAGTTAAAAGTCCTAATTGCATGTATCATTGCCCTAAATCTAAAAAATACTTAGAAGAAGCCTTGTTAGATAAAAAATAATTGAGTTGCCCGAAATGCTTTGCCATGCCCTTTTATGGATCTCTTGGTAGTTCAAAGGAGTCATCACTAGATGGTACTGGAGGCTGTATAATCAAGAAGGTATTTTTTCAGGTGTATGTGGAGGTTTATAAAAAAACACAAGTCTATTTCTTTCAGTGTCACAATAAGCTTACCTGTAAACAAACTGTAGAAATATAGTAGAATACAACAGTAAGCAGGATTTTTAAACAAAGAAAAATTAGATAGCTTTACAGTGCTTGCTAATTTTTTGTATATACTATGAATCTAACACTAGTTATACCTTTAACTTAAAATAGCAACTCCACAGTCATATGGATATGCACCACTCTTCCTTGACTGATTACTGCTGTTGTTTTCTGCCTTAAACAACTATTTGAAGCTTAAAACCACAAATTAGGTATAAATCTAACGATTATAGTTTTTAATATACTGTATAATACTGTCTTTTAGACTGCTTTGGCAAATATTTGTTTTTCGCGTAACATCCTACGTATTAAAAGCTTTCCTTGGATAGTTCTCCCTAGATAATCCTTTCTAACAGAAAAGGAAGGTAAAAACAAAAATTTTACTAAATATCCAATTCCTGTTAAGACATTTTTCTGCTTGTCCCAAGGGGACTGAACACAAGAAGATAAAAATAAGGCCTTTAGGGACTCCTTATGATTCTTTTCTTTCTTAACTAAATATTGCTTAAATATTTTTTTGTATGTAAGAGGTAAGGGCACATGAAAGCACTCAATTTCCTGGCTTCCTAACTCAAACCACTGTATAAATATTTTTAAGATTGTTTGCTATATACTTGAGATAATGTCAAAACTAAATTAGCAACACCATTGTTTCCCATATTTAGATTAAGTTTTTTGGAATATTTAAAACTCAAGTATGATAAATGATTTCACTTAGTAAGAGATCACCTTATTAATGTAATTTTCCTGACAGTCTAAAATCTAAATATTAAGTGCTTTTGTTATACCAACTTGTTGTAAACAAGTTATGTGAACAAGTTGTTATGACAGCATTAAAGAATTAGAGTTAAATGAAGAAAACAAAAATTTATAGGATTGTCAATTGTCTTCAGGGTTTTTTTCCCAAAGAAAAAGTTACAAAATCTTGTGTTAAGGAAGAAGAGTAAAAGAATGCTATTGTACATAAGTAACTTAAAATACCTTGTCCTTCTTTTTAAGGGCAATGTTATTGTTACAGACTGCAGAAGACCAAGATACTTATAATGTTACAGTAAGAAATTATGGCAGATTGTTATGGTAAGCGTATTTTTTTCCCATTAATTCTGTGAATTTATTAGATTTTTCTGGTGAAAGTTATAGGACTAGTGAGGTGGTGACGAATTTCCAGAGTAGTGGGGCGTATATAGTTGAGTGGGCTGAAAATCTCCCAAGGATACATAATTCCCTCAATACTAGGCTTTGTAAATAGTTTCCTGTTCCTATACTGATATCTAAGGCCACTGTGCTTCCGTGACAAGCAGATTTAGAACTGATGGTTGTGGACTGTACAAGAGAACATTTCAAAGAGAGGCTCTTGCTGTCTGTTGTAATAGAACCCTAGTTAATTGGAAGAGGAATTGGACTTATTCTGACTTGTTTGCTGCTTATACTTACATGGGGAATGGCCATTGAGGACCCAGAAGCCCTTTAGAAACAGTACATAAAAATTTTTGTGTATGTGCATTTTGTGATGGAGAGAGAGCCATATAGCTTTCTTCAGGTTCTCAAAGACTTGACTTCAAAAAGAGTTAAAAAAAAAAAAAAGATTAAAACTCAATTATTTTAGATATTAGAATTAGGTCTAGAGAATAGAAGTATTGTGGGAGGAAGGTTTTTGGCTCAAGTTAGGGAGGTGTTCCTCAAGCTGAGAACTGCCCCCAAATTGAATGGTCCAGTTTGAAAAACATTGTTAAAACTGTAGTTTGATATTTTGGGATTAGTGCCTGTATCTTTTAAAGAGGCACATAGTAGAGATCTGAGGTAGCCAGTTCTTTTCTTTTATAATCATGTAACTGAATCATATTCATAGACAGGAAAATATTTTTGTTCTGACTGCTTTTCCCTCTAATTCTTTTAAAATGCTGTGTTTAGGAGTTGATAGTTTTATCATTTCTAAGATTTTGTTGTAGCAGAAGACAGGTTATAAGAAATTATATGGAACAAGTATCTGTTTGTTTTTAGTTTTGGTTTCATATAATGTAAATATTTTTTACTTTTAGTTTTTATTTTTAGTTTTATTTTAGGGAGGGGGGAAGACAGAGGGAGAGAGAGAGAGAGTCTTAAGCAGGCTCCGTGCTTAGCACAGAGCCAGACATGGGGCTCAATCTTACATCACTGAGATCATGACCTGAGCCAAAATCAAGAGTTGGACACTTAACTGACTGAGCCACCCAGGTACCCCATCATATAATGTAAATATTTTTGAAAAAAATCTATATCTTCTATTGAAAATAGATCATGTCTTTTAAAATTTGTTTTTATTATGAAATATATTAAACATGCAAAATGCAGTAAGTAGTATACAGCATAATTTAATGAATAGTCACTGCCCAAATATAACATCTTAAAATTGTCCATTGTCTTCAGGGTTTTTTTCCAAAGAAAAAGTTACAAATAAAATTGAAGCCTTGTGCCTTTCCTAGTTCTATTCTGTTCTCTACAAAAGTAATCACATGTTTGAAGATAGTGTTTATTAAAAAAAAAAAAAAACAACTTTTAATATATGTATGTATCCATATACAATCTAAGGTAGCCCTCTTTCCTTCACCAAAATATTTATCAAAATTTGAGTTTTTTTGACTTTAAAAACCTTAAATTTTTTTGATTTTTATGGTCTTTCACCTTTGGGCGCCTGGGTGGCTCAGTCGGTTGGATGTCTGCCTTTGGCTCAGGTCGTGATCCTGGAGTCCTGGGATCGAGCCCCACATCTGGCTCCCTGCTCAGCGGGGAGTCTGCTTCTCCCTCTCCTACTGCTCTGCCTACTTGTGCTCACGCTCTCTCTCTCTCTATCAAATAAATAAATAAAATCTTAAAAAAAAACTTTCACCTTTATGAGACTAATTTTAGAATCAAAGAATGCCTGTATTTTTAGATCCCACACCCTCCCCAAGATTAAAAGGATTTTCTAAAAAGATTTCCAATAACACATTAAAAATAAAAGTTTCTGATTATAGTGATGGACATGAAAAATAAGAATCTTAAGGGCAGAGTGTATCCTTTCCAGGCGATGGCAGCTTCTCTTCATTTTTAAATAAGCAAAACAATTATTTTTTTGTTATTAAAAAGTATTGTACTTTAGGGGTGCCTGGGTGGCTCATTCAGTTAAGCATCTGACTCTTGATTTCAGCTCAGGTCATGATCTCAGGGACTTGAGATTGAGCGCCATGTGGGGCTCCCCAGTGAGTGTGGAGCGTGGTCAAGATTCTCTCCCTCTCCCTCTGTCTCCCTGTCCTCCCACCCCCCCACCCCCCTGCTCATGTGCTGTGCATCCTCTCCAAAAAATAAAATGAAATAAACTTTTAAAAAAAGTATTGTACTTTAGTGTCATATGTAACAATTTTTACTTTTCTTCCTATTAAATACAGAAAAGATAATCTATACTTTTGTCTGTGGAATTTAGTTTACCTTTATACTCTCCAAAAAAAAAAAAAAGGATGTTCAGGTAAACAGTTAAACAGTTTATACAAAGGCTAGGTTTGATTTTAATTAGGTATTTTATGCTTCTTAAGCTTGTCAGAGATGCTAGAACCATACTCATAGGGTAATATTCAACCAATATATTAAGCTTAAAGAGTTCTGTATAAAAGTCAACTTGAAATTATTTTTATACTTTGGGATTTTAGTTCAAGTTTGTTAATAAGAAAGACATTTTATAATTTAGCAAAACTAATCATTTTCATATGTAATTTAAAAGAAACAAAATGTGAAGTTACATTGCTCCAGTATATCTTATTTGAAATAAATGATACACCTTCTATTTTAATATGTCTTTTCTTTCGCTTTAACACTAATAGATGAAGTATGTGAAAATATTAAAAGAACCTTGGTATAATAGTCTCTTTGTATTCTTATGATATAAGCCAAAATCGTTTTTAATATTAAAAGTAAGTTATGTTTTGCTTCTTAGTTCCATTGGTAAATATGATAAAGCTATCCAGGCTTTTAAGTCAACACCCCTTGAAGAGTTAGAAGACATCATAGGTTTTGCATTGGCTTTATTTATGAAAGGTCTATATAAAGAAAGCAGCAAAGGTAAGTATGTTGCTTGAAGCTAAAGGACACATCTTACTTTTCCAGGGCTGAATGGAATTTAATCACAAGATTATATACAGAAAGATGGAACATTGAAATGGGAGTAGGGGTTGCAATGTTTATTAAGATCCAACTAGGGGTCAGGAATGATATTAGGTACTTTTTATCTGTTCCCTCCCTTAGTACATTATTATGTGAATAGTCCTTATAGCAGTGTTATGAGCTCAGTGTTATCTTAATTATTTATATAAGGAAACTGAGGCCCAAGATCACTTAAAGTAGAGTTAGCATTTGAAAGCAGGTCTTTGCTTAAATGTAAATTTCTGATAAGTGAAGACCTTGACCTATTGGTAATAGTATGTTTGATTTTCTCCAAAAATGCTCAGAGTACATTTTCATACTGGTATGCACATGGAAATTTTCGTGGTATCTCAATGGCTGCAGGCCTTCACATCGCTTAAAGATTTCCCTATAGAGTCTGAAGATAGAAGTTAGGGAATGTCTCATAATAATTCTAACAATATCCGCACGATCACCTTGGACCAGCTAAACCAGGTTAGATTATTTAAAATTTTTTCCCATCCACTTGAAAATAAGGAAACAATAAGATATGATTTAGTTAGACCTTTTAAAAAATAGGATTAGAAAGGGAGAAATTTCACTGTCAATCAGGATTGTGTTTATATCGTTTTGTTTTTGTTTCCAACTCTGTATAATAGCCTATGAGAGAGCCTTGTCTGTTGTTGAATCAGAGCAGGACAAAGCCCATATCTTGACAGCTCTGGCAATAACGGAGTATAAACAAGGAAAAATGGATGTAGCCAAGACATTGCTATTTAAATGGTATGTATAGGGGCGCCTGGGTGGCTCAGATGGTTAAGCGTCTGCCTTCGGCTCAGGTCATGATCCCGGGGTCATGGGATCGAGCCCCACATCGGGCTCCTGGCTCAGCGAGGAGCCTGCTTCTCCCTCTGCCTCTCTCCCTGCTCATGCTTTCTCTCTCTGTATCTCTGTGTCTCAAATGAATAAATAAAAAATCTTTAAAAGAAAAAAATGGTATGTATAGTTGACATTAACACTTAACATGACCAGATACTTAAACATTGGATTACAAATTGAAACAATGTAAAATGAAGTTTTTAATGTTTTAGGAACTTTTTGTTGAACAAAAGGGATTGGACTGACCCGGTTGTCAACTGACAGTCATAGGTGGAGATCATGGCTTAATTTTTAGCTCTGGATCCATCCAGTCCTTCAAAACCATCCTATACTCTGTGTGTATTATTTATTTGTTTAAAAGAATATTTGATCACCTGATCTAGTAGGATCTTAAAATTTTAATGAAGGGAGTTCTGACTGGCTTATTTTTTGGCCTCTTTTGTTCCCAAAGAGATTTTTTCCTCTTTATTTTTCTAGTTAACTTGATAAAATAAAGTTCATTTAAAACTAAAGCTTTAAAAAAATATAACCAATATAACGTGTAACTATTTCTATGTTTTTGGAATAAATTAGTAAAATAATAGCCTATGATATCTGTGGTTATTTATAAGGTTATATGGTTAGTTAGTTTTCTAAAACCCAGGCCCCAAAACACTATTTATATTTGTTTCTAAAACTTAGATATAATGAACAGAAAAGAAAGGCCTTTGGTATTTTTAACTGCTTTAGACTTTTAGGGAAATTGCTGTCCCGAGAAGCCAAGGAATCTGTTTTATATTTATCTTAAAGCTGGGCTTAGTTTGGTGAATCCTTAAGTAGATTGCTTTTTTAACATTTTACTAAATGTTAAAATTTTAAATTTTACATTTTACTAAATGTTAAAAATGTTTTAATAGTTACAGACTACTGTACTATGGCTAATATACAATTAAAAATATTTACAGCTCTATCTTAAAGGATCCAACCACAGAAAGCCTTCAAGCCCTGTGTGCTCTTGGATTGACAATGCAGGATGCTACACTGTCAAAAGCGGCACTTAATGAATTACTGAAGCACATCAAGCAGAAAGACAATGATTATTCAAAGTGCCTTCTTACTTCAGCGATTTATGCACTGCAAGGCCGCAGTGTGGCAGTGCAGAGACAAGCATCTAAAGCTGTTCACAGGTAAATTCTGTACTTGTGAACTTGGAGTAATTATACTTGATGAGCTAATCTTTGACATTTGGACCTTATTAAGAGTATAAAATGAGGGAAGCATATATTTTTGTAAACCAGAATGTAGTTTTATGAAATTGCACTTAGGACCAGGTAGCTGAGTATACACATTATTTCATCTATAAAGGTTTTTTAAAAAATTCAGTTGATAAGCAGATAAGAGAACAGATATTTTGTACTTATTCAATAAGTTAAGGCCTGAACCTCATTTTAATACAAAAGTCCTTACTTATTCTCAAGTTAGTGATATGGTCTGTTTGTTATTTGATACCGTCCAGCTTAATGGTTTTAGGAATTTTTGGCCACTCAAACATACACTAATGTCTTCAAAATTTAGAAAATAGAAAGCTCTTACTACTAGCAGTAGTGGTTATTTGTTTTATTTTCAGCAGTAAAGTGGGTTTTTTTTAAGATTTATTTTTTTTTAGAGAGAGAGTGCATGCATGCATGAATGGTGGGAAGGGCAGCAGGAGAGAAACTCAAGCAGACTGTGTGCTGAGCATGGAGCCAAAACCAAGAGTCAGACACTTAACCAACTTAGCCACTCAGGCACCCCAGCAGTAAAATGTTCTAAATGAAGTTTATTTTCCTTTCGCAATTTTCATCTCTGTGTTTTCCTTGAACACAACATATTAAATTTCCTTAGCTTTTCTTAATTAGATCTTAATTAATTAGATTAGGCTTTGTAATTATCATATTGCTGATTTTTCCTTCTTATTTTCATAAGGACTCTTGGTGTATATAGAAGATATGTTTGCTGAAAATTAAGGCACTTTCATTCACACATAGACAATTAATATGAAATTGTTTTAGATGTCTACAACATTTTGAACTTAGGTTCTAAATAAAATGTTGGTTGTTTTTACTTTTCGTGGTTTAAAGTGACTCCCATCTCTAAGCCTTTTGCTTTTGATGGTCTCTATAGTAACCCAGCTGATCCTGCTCTTTGGTCTCTGTTGTCCCGAGTAGTTGCTCAGTATACTAACCGAAGTGCAAAGGTGAGTAATGTTCTAAATTCCGGCAAAAAGATAAAATAACTTGTGATGTAGTAAGTAATACCATTTTTAGAATATTAGCATTATCATTCTGGGAAATAACTAATACAGCAAAGGAGTTTTGTTATTTAACCAGATTTTCCATTTGTCATTTGATAAGTAGTACGCCGAGTTTCTTTCATGTACTATTGTACTGTTCTGGGTATTATGAAAGATACAAAGAAGTAGGTAGACTTTTTTTTAATACATACAGATTATGTTAATGTCTATGTGATTAGGTTATGTTTATAATGTTGCCATTTAGGAGGAATTAACTGTTGTGTTTTTTGAATCCCAAAAGATATTTTTATTTAAAAGCTCTTCAAAGATAAGAAAATAAGAACTAAAACATTGCTAATGTCTAAAATCTAAAAATGTGAATCTCAATACGAAGTCATTGATGTTCTATAAAAGGGATTATATATTTTCATTCATAATAGCCAGATAGTTTTAGAGGTCTATGAAGTATTTTGTTAATTTCTGTGGTTACTATGTCCTTTCATGGCTGCCTAATTAGTGGGTAAACATAATGGTAGTAGCTAATTATGTTTTGAACACTTATTATATCTAATAATTCCACTGTCTGAAGTCTCTGTGGGTCTGATTTTATGTTATTCCTACTCATTTTTGCACATGGTATTTCAAAGAACCTAGAAGAGCATCATTATTAGGTACTAGAATGAAGTACTTATTATGTGCCAACTATTGTATATATTTTGTCATTTATCCCAACAACCACATGAAGTAGCTGTAATTAATGTCCATTTTATAGAGAACACTTGAGACAGAGAGAATAAATAACTTGTGCAAAACCACAGTTAGTATTTCTGGTGATAGATCATCCCAGATCTAACTCCTGAATCCTCCTTTTACTCTGCCACGTTTTCTGTTTTCTTTTTAATCCATCTTCTATTTGTTTTATATTAACATATTTTTAAAGGTTATTTTTTGGCATTCTTTATATGCTAAATATGATGTACAAAACATTTCTGATACAGTTCCAGTATAAAATTAGGAGAACAGTATACTTCTGAATTAAAATGAACTCATTCTCATAATTCATTTTCTTTTCCAGTTAAAATGTCTAACTGAATTTAAAAATTAAGGATTTCAATCCTGATTTACAAAAATTATGATGTATATATTTTTTTCATTTTCAGTTTTGAGTTGATTATTGAAGCAGTGATTTGCTTCAAGGTGCCCTGGCTATTCATTTTATTAGGAACTACAGAAATTTTTAAAATACCATATTTTCATGGAATAAAATGATATTAATCCTAAAATAAATTTTGGGATTCTGTTTCTCTTTCTCTTTCAGTCTTTCTCTCACATTCTTTTATATTGTTAGGAAATATGTACTTGTGTTTGGTGTAAAACTGTGTAACTTTTGCACCATTAATGAATATTTTAAAAGAGTAGAGTTGAAATAATTGTAGTAGAAAAGATTTTTTATAAAAATACTAAACTTAACAAAATACTAAACATCTCTTAAAGCAGTAATCATTTGATACTTCAGGAATTTGGAAGTCGTGAATGTGATAGAATATTTGGTGGACTTTTATCAGTGTTAGTTTTTATTTGTGAAAGTTTATACATTTATCTAAATATTTTCTATTATAGGGAGGTGCTGTAGCAGGAAATGTGGCTCATATTTTGGACTCAAATCATGGAAAGGTTAGTTTTCTCCAGTACAAAGGAAATGTCCTACTTGTTAAGTATTATTATTGATGAAACAATAAAATAATTTTTCTTCCTAGGTTTAGTACATTGTATCATACCTGATATAGTCCTTTTTTAGTCAGTTTGAAAGTCATGGAGCTATAAAAATAATTGGCTAACACTCTTTTTCTTTTATGCAGAAGGCATTACTGTACACTGCAGTAAATCAGTTAGCTATGGGAAGCAGTTCAGCAGAAACTGAAAAAAATATTGCACTAAAGACCATTCAGAAAGCAGCTCTTCTTTCTCCAGGTGAATATAATGTAATCCATTTCATTAATTCAGATTCTTCTGGTCTTGCATTTGTGACCTATAGGCACAGAGTTTGCATTTCATGAAGTAAAGGAATTTTAAGAAAATATTCTAAGCTTTTGCATATTATTTGATTATCTTGCATTTGACTCCTGATAATTAAGAGATAATCAATTCTTGAAGCAGGCTGGAAGGAATATCTGCATAAAGATACTTTATTGAAACTCTGAATTGTGTATTTTCAAGAAGTAGTTTTATTTTTGTTTTCCATAGTCTGCTTCAGTGAGGTTTACCTATAGCTACTAAATTATTTAATGAACATATTTAGTTGTTTTAGTTATTTTTATGGGTAGTTGGCTCCTTAAAGAGTGGAGATATGTCTTCTGGAGTAACTGTTGGAATGTCAAGGTGATGTCCTCACCTGAGCTAGTCTGTCTTTGTGTCTTTGATCACATTGATCACTGAGGAAGTACCTATGACCACATCAGTATACTTCCATTATCATTGCTAGAGAACTGGAATACCTATCAGTGTGTATTTTTACATAATAGTATTTTTAATACGAGATACAGAATTAAATAATTTTTTTCCTGCAGAGTACTTCAAACATTTGTTAAATCAGAAAACTTTTGTTTTTGGCTAGGGACTGTTAGGAAACAAATTGTACAAAATAAGTCCAATGTTATCTTCAGAGTAAATTGTAAAGATCCTAACTAAACCACAAAATATTTAATAAATCAGAGATTATTTTATAAAACAAGTAAACAGACCAACATCTTGTTGTTTATTCTTTGTTTCATTTATGTAATAGAACCAAAAGAGACCCTAAACATTTGGAATTGTCTTTGTTATACACTGGATAAGTTTTTGATTTTTAGAGGTTAGTTCAAGATAGTATTAGATAGAATTACTCTCGAGGATTTTTACCATGGATATAGAATGATAAAAGATCTGTTAGCTTTTGATTGTGTGAGTGACATAAACTTTAGAAAGGTGAGATTGCCCAGATAAGGTCTTCTATAATGATCTTATTTTCCCATATTATCTGGAGAAATACATACTCAAGGAATTAGAATCATCCTATAAGATGCTTGAAAGGGGGACTGAGCAATGAAGATGAGTGCCTCTGTGACACTTGTTTTTGGAGTCCAGTGAAAGTAAATATAATTGTAGTTATGTGTAGTAGCTATATACCTAATCCTTGCAGCTCTTTATCCTTGTGATCTTGTAGAACTTTATCAAAGTATAGTTTTGATAGATGATATTCAGAGGAATCTTTTCAGAAATTTAAGTATAATCCCAAGATTTTAGAATTAAATTAAAAAAATCCAATTTCTGCTAGGTCAGTGCTTCTGTGATATTAAAAGGTATTTTTAGCAAATTATATTTAAAAAATTTTAGGTTCATAGTATATACATACATTTATATTATCACTTGGTTTCATAGGGAATTTGAGTTGCTGATTATTTATGGAAGAGTTAATGAAAGCAGTAATTCTTTTGAATTGTGACAGAAGAAATTACTGCCAGCTGATATCCATTTCCTCCCTCCTGAAATTAAAACTATACCCGAAGATCCCTAAAGGAGTTCTTCACTTAATCTTAGAAATAAGTTCATACTCAGAAACTGAGTCCACTTCATTTGGAATTTTGGGTTTTAGGCCTGATGACACTTGAGCCATCATCTAGTTCACTCGTCTTGTTTTATAGAAAAATGAGTCCCAAAGGGAAAGCTGGCACACATTTAATCTGTGGCATTGTTAGAGCTGAAACCCAGGTCTAAAACAGTCATGGGTCTTTCATTATACAATAATCAGATCTCAGGAATTCTAAGGAATGGTTCCCATTTCCTTATCCTGGAGTATGATTATGTCTTTTGTTGTTTAAAATAAGGTAGTCATTGTCTTGGGCAGAAATTATTGTATAATATGGAGATAGGCATTTAATTTTTTTGTAAAAATTTTTTTATCTGCCTAAGGTTTCTAATGATTCCTGTACTATTAGCAGTAATACTGATCCTCTATAAGTGAAGTAGACATACATTTCAGATATTTGATAGAGGATATATATCACATGGAACAATTAGATAGGAAAAAATATAAAACTTAAGCTAAAATTTTTGTTTAAATGACTATATTGTTGGGGCACCTGCGTGGCTCAGTTGGTTAAGTGTCTGCCTTTGGCTCAGGTGGGTCCTGGGATTGAGCGCCACGTCGGGCTCCCTGCTCAGCACAGAGTCTGCTTCTCCCTCTGCCTGCAGCTTCCCCTGCCGTGCTCTCTCCATCTCTCTGTCAAATAAATAAAATCTTAAAAAAATAAAATAAACGACTATATTGTTAACTAGCACCCCTGTGGGATTTTAAAATTGTCTTTTTGTTTGTTTGGGGTTTTTTTTGGAAGATTGTATTTTTAAGTAATCTCTACACCCAATGTGGGGCTCAAACTCCCAACCTTGAGATCAAGAGTTGTATGCTCCACCAACTGAGCCATCCAGGGACCCCAAAATTATTTGTTTTTTTAAGCATAGCAGGCCTAAGATATTGACCATGCAGATATTAACCTGCAAAATATGACTTATGGAAGACCAAAAAATAAAAACTCTTCTAATTTCTAAATTCTTTTTCATCTTCTTTTTACAACTACCTTTTTTAAAAAGAGGCATCTATATGCATAATCTTTATTATTACCACCTCAGTCCACTGCTTCCCCCTCTCCCCTGAAGCTGCTGTCAAGGTGTGAAGGAAAGAAGGAAAGATCAAATCAATGAAGGGATATATACAATCATAGAATTGTTTCACTTGGAATGATAAAATGACTTTCATGCTTGGCTGTTAGAACATAGGTAAATGGAGTTGTCTTGAGCTTTTCCTTTGGCTCGAAATTTTCTTAAAAACTGAGAAATAGTATTATCTTGCTTTTCCTATGATTGAACCTTTAACACGGGGTTTGAATGATGACTGTGTCTCTTTGAGACTTGCCCTTGGTGTCCAGTGAAAGTGAATATAATCGACTTTTCCACAGTAGCACAGTACTCTAGGCAACTGAGCTAACCAGCCATGGAAGAACTTAATAGGGTATTTCTTATCCTCTGCAGTATTTTGAGAAAAAGGCAAATCTTGAAGGATGAATATAGTAATGCGTCTTCTGAAAAGAAGTATAAATCAGTTTCTTTTAAGAAAATGGATTTTTTCTAGAGATACAATTTATTTTATTTTTGATTTAATTTTTTGGTATTTATAAACTTACTCTCATTTTTGATAGTTTTTCAGCAATATGTTGATATTAACAAGCCTTCTAACTATATTCCTTATGTTTAGGTGATCCTGCTGTCTGGGCTGGGCTAATGGCAGCCTGTCATGCTGATGATAAACTGGCTCTAGTGAACAACACTCAGCCAAAGAGAATGGATTTGTACTTGGCACTGTTATCTGCTGTTTCTGCTTCAAGTAAGTTTAGAAAAACATTTTATACATAATGAATTCAGTGTAAAGTACTCAGAAGGATATTGCAAGAAGGTAGTGGGCATAATTAGCTCTACACTAAAGGCTGAATGATCTCATCTGACAAAGCTTAAAAACAAGCCTTGAAAAGATGAAATCATTTTCTAGAGCCTTAACTGCATACAGAACAAAGCTCAAGAACATTATAGGAATACAAAAATGTTCAGCATTCAACAAGGTAAAATTTACAGTGTCTGGTATCCAGTTAAAACTTAATAGGCATGCAAAGAGGTAGAAAAGTACCACCCATAATGAGATAAATCAATCAATAGAAACAGATCCACAGATGACACACTAGAAATCTCTTTAAAATGTACTTGATTCTTTAAAGCACATATTACAACAATAACACAAAAAACAGGAGGGGAAACAGAAATATTCTGCTGTAAAATTTTTATACTATAAGTGAAGTGGTATAATATTACTTAAAGGTAGACTGTGGCAGGTTAAAGATGAATACTTAAAAATGTAAAGTAGATACTAAATAAATAAAGTTATAGCTAATAAGCCACCAAGGTAGATAAAAGGAAATTGTAAAAAATAATTCAAAGATGAGGAAAAGGGAACAAAGACTCAGATAAGACCAATAGAAAACAAGTAACACATTGGAGTTAAGCCCAACCGTATAAATAGTCAAGTTAAATGGTCTGAATGCCCCAGTTAAAAGGCAGAAACTGTCAGATTGAATAAAAAAGCAAGAGCCAACTATATACTGCCTAAAAGAAACATAGATGAAATATAAATGTATATTTAAATATAAAGACAAAAATAGCCTAAAAAGTAAAAGATTGGAAAAAGATATACCATGCCAACACTAATCAAAAGAAAGTTGGAGTGGCAATGGTAATTTCAGACAAACTGGATTTTAGAGCAAAGGATATTGCCAATGATAAGGAAGGTCATTTCATAATGGAATCAATTCATTGAGAGGACATAACAGTGCTATAAGCCTTTAGGCACTAAGTAACAGAACTTCAAAACACATACAATCTGCATTGTATTTCAAAATAAAATAGGTAGAAAAAAAGAAGCTTGTGGAAAAATGTATGAAGCAAAAACTTACAGAACTGAAAGGAGGGGCAGACAAATCCACAATTATATAGTTAGAGATTTAGTACTCTTCTTTCGATAATTGATGGAACAATTGAACAAAAAAATCAGTAAAAATATAATAAAGACTTGAACAACACTGTCAACTAAATTGACCTAATTGGCATTTATGGAATACTTCTTTATAACAGCATTGTCAAGTGAACACAGAACATCTACCTACATTTCTTGTGGGCCAGAAATGTTTGAAATAAATTTAAAAGGCTTCAAATAATATATAAAGCATATTGTTTTAATATAATAGAATTAAGTTAAAAACCAGTAACAGAAAAAATCTGGAAAATTCCCAAATATTTAGAAACTAAATAACATACTTCTAAATAATCCAGTTCAGAGAATAAGCCAGAAGGGAAGTTAGAAAATATTTTGAACTGAAAGAGAAGGAAAAAAAACATTTCAAAGTTCTACGGTGCTATTAAAGCACTGCTTACAGGAAATTGATAGCATCAAATGTCTACATTAGAAAAGAAAGCCTTCAAATCAGTGATCTCAGCTTCTCCTTAAGAATTAGAAAAGGGAAGAAGAACTTATACTCAAAGTAAGCAGAAGAAAAGAAGTAATAAAAGGTAGTGATCAGTGAAATAGAAAACAAAATCAACAAAAGTGAAAACTAGTTCTTTGAGAAGATCAGTAGAATTGATAAGCCTCTAGCCAGACATCAGGAATGAAAGAGGGTACATCACTATAGCTATTTAAAGGCTAATCACAGGATCTTGGGAACAGTTTACACTATTAAATTTGGCAATTTGGATGAAATGGACAAATTCCTTAAAAGACACAAAGCTCACTTAAGAAGAAGTAAATAAACTAAACAGCTTTGTATCTATTAAAGACATTGAATTTTTAGTTAAAAATCTTCCCACAAAGAAAACTCCAGGACCAGATGGCTTCATTGAGGAATTCTCCCAAACATTTAAGGAAGAAATAATACCAGTTCTATACAAACCCTTCCCGAAAATAGAAAAGTTGGTATTCTTCTTCTCTGAGGCCAGCATTATCCTGTCACCAAAACCAGGCAAAGACTTTAACAAGAATACTGTGGAACTACAAATGCAGAAATTCAAATGCAGAAATTCATCATAAACCGTAGCAATTCAAATCCAACAACACATAAAAAAGGTAACAATACATCATGATCAAGTGGGGTTTATCCTAGGAATGTAAAGTCGCTTTACATCTGGAAATGTAATTATTTATATTTATATTTATAGTTGTGAAGGTGCTAGACAATACTATATGTTGTGAAGGTGCTAGACAATACTATATGCTATACTTTATGATTCCATTTATGTGAAATTTTAGAAAATGCAGACTGATCCATTGTGTCTGAAAATAATTAGTGGTTGCCTGGGACAGACAGTAAGAGGAGAAGTATGTTGGGGACAGAAGTGATTACAAAGGGGTAGGGTGAAAATCTTCATGATGATGAATATGTTCATTATCTTGATGGTAGTGATGGTTCATAGATATATGCTCATGTTAAAAGTCTTCAGGTTGTAGAATTTGAATATGCAGACGTGTAATTTATCATATGTCAGTTATGTTGCAGTATTTAATTTTTTCAATGAATTATTTTTAGTTTTACTGTAGATAAAGTGATTTTTTATGTAAATCACAAGTCTATAAAGTTTTAAGTTATTCAACCACAAATATTCCTACCATGAAACTTTTCAGAAACCTGGCACATACTAGGATGGTCTATGGTATTCCTATAATACATGTAAGTTTTAAAAAATTGTATATGCATGATAAGTCTAATTGTAATACTTCTTAGCAATTGATTACTCCTCTGAGAACACATTATAAATTGCAGAAGAAAGTAACATTAACATTTTTGTTAACAGTTAAAGACAAAGAATTCCTCAAGGATTATAACCAATCTCTTGAAAAGTGGTCTCTCTCCCAAGCTGTCACTGGTCTAATAGACACAGGAAGAATATCTGAAGCTGAAGCCCTCTGCACAAAGGTATTATTATGAAATTGAGCATTGAGATTTATGGATTCTTATCCTACTTAGAAGATAACATTAAACATGGAATGCACAGTATTTAAAGGGCATATGATGGTGGCGGTGATGATAGTGATGATGATGATACCACCCAGCATTTATTGAGTACTTCCTATAAGCCTGTCAGTACACTTAGCAGTTTGTATTTGAACTTCCCAAGAATATATGGCATAAATACTATTATCCCCTTTTTATAAATGAGTAAACTAAGGCTTAGAGAGGGTAAGTATTTTGCACAAGAGTTTACAGCTAGAAAATGATTGAGGTGCTATTTGAACTCACATTTGTCTGACTCTAGGACTCAAGGACTTAATAGGTCTTTGTTGGGGGGAATACCATTATGGAGGCCATATTTCCCTTTGATTTCTGGTTACTACCTTCAGAATGCTGTATTTTCTGGCATCTCTAAAGCTCTGAACCACATAGAAAGACAATGAGGAGTAAGTGGGCAACTGGAGCTACTTAGTAGTTACCTTGTACATACCTGGATTGTAGGCTCTGTGTGTAAATCCTTAGCACCTTGCCTAACACATAGTAGGGGCTCAGTAAATATGTATTCAGTGAATGAATCAGTTTCATAAACCTACTCAGAAATAATTGAATGGATAATGTGGGTTTTCAAACATTGCTTCTTCTGAAAGCATCTTTTTTCATAAATGCTTACCAAGTCGAGACTGTATTTTCTTTCTAGAAATTTTTTTTTGGGGGCAAGGGGGTGTGGGAGGAGATGAATTTTACAGAGAAGGAAGAATGGATCCTTGAAGATCCCTTTGGTGTTTGAATTCTCTGAAAAGCAGAGTAATAAATTTTCTCTTTTATTTAAGAAATTCCATCTAAATTCAGGACAGATTAGTATTATGCAGTGAGTGTTTAATAAGCAACTGACAGTTGCTATGCTCTCTCTGACAGAATAAGGGATACTTTTATGAATCTTACCATTTTTTTGTGCCAATTTCTTAGAAGAAAGCAATCACATATATTTAAGACTATAACTTAATTAAAAAAATAAAGTATGTTATTGAGGGACCAGCAATAAAGAAAGAAATGTTTAAAACAGTGGAAGACTTGTTTAGAGAACTTTCTTAAACTTCTTCCTATATATATATATAGGAAGAGATACATATGCATATATATAATTCTATATGTGTATGTATATAAATAATGGCTTAGGGAAATGGGTAAATGGGTCATTTCTCTTACAGTGTTTAGGAAGTCTGTGCCTAGAGAAGGACATCTAATGAATATTTTTGTGAAGAGATTGAAAAAGGAAAAAAAAAAACCTATAACTTATAGCTCTTCCTGTATAGTTTCTTCCGATAAGGAATAGTGTTAGCTTTCACTGTTAATTTTATGTCTTCTGAATTCACCTATTTACATTCAGAACTTAAGTTTTTCAGGATATCACCTACAAATAAAACAAGTCAAAGAGACAAACTAAAACAAATGAATTAAAAACTACAATAATAGCATTATCAATTTTAATTTAAATGTGGAGTTTGATATTCTCAAGCTGTTCATTGTTTTATTTATTTTACTTTTGCAGTTCTTTATTTTTTATTAAGAAAAGGTTAAGTTCAGATTTTTTTTTCTCCCAATACTTAATTGCCACTTAACATTCAAGAATCTATTTGATGTATTTCTATTTGGGGTTTAATTTTTAGAATTTAAAAAGTAACCCTGATCAGCCAGCTGTTATCTTACTTTTGAGACAAGTTCAGTGTAAACCACTCCTGGAGTCACAAAACCCTCTCCCAGATGCTGTCCTTGAAGAGCTGCAAAAAACAGTCATGTCCAACTCAACTTCTGTTCCAGCTTGGCAGGTAAATTCTCTCCTTTCTTACATGAATCCTGAACTAGAATCTTTCATTATACTAGATGAAGGCAGGGGTTAAGCTCCATTTTATTTGTCTTGTCTTTAAACTCACCATATATCTTTCACTGTCAAGATTTAAAGTATGTTGTATTGTGATTAAGGAGACTTGAGGAAGTTTAATACTAATTTAGGATCTGCTGCTACACTGCTTCAAAGCTTCTTAAATTGTTGATTATAAATTTCCTCGATTTAAAACAATGTTGAGAATACTGTCTTTTACATGGGTTGATGTAAGAGAGCTAAAGAGTGTTTCAAACATTTTGTCATAATGGTGTTAACTTTGTTGTAGAGAGGATTTATGTGGTTTTTCTTTATTTTTCTTTAACTACCACATAGGTAACTCATATCCAGGATTTTAATGGTTATTTAGTGTTTTTTGAAATAGTTACAGATGCCTGAATCAACAGAATGTCCTTTTAGCTGGTTCTGGTTATCTGCAATGACAAACATGTAATGATCACCATGTACTTTATTCTTATTGATGTTAAAACAGAGAAAAACATGTAATTACTGTATTCAGTTTACTATAGTTTCCTCTGCTCCAGAGAAAGTGTCAGAGGGGCTTTTTGATGTTGATTTAACAGAAGCTTATTTTACTATAATTTTTTCTTCATTTTGATCTTTTATTATAACAACTTTTTGATGTTCCTGCTTAAAAAGATTATCTAGTGGCATAAAGTAGTTGGGTTATGCAAGCTAAGCCTGCTTTTTACTGTAATCATTGGAGAAAGATAGTGCTTTTTATCCCCTTTCTTAAAGTTTGCCATATGAGAGTTAAGATAATTTAATTCTAAGGTCAAATGGATACTGATGATTTCTTCATCAAGAAGAAAAATACCTTGTCAAACTAAAAGGGAAAAATAAAAGATAAACTTTATAGGAAGTAGAGTTTTAAGAGATAGCATGTGTTTTCTTTCATATTATATAATTCACAAAGGATAGAGTATAAAAGTCTTAAAAGTCCCATTCATTACATTTTTACTTACATATATGCCTTTTTAGCTGCCACCTATACCAAGATACAGAACATTTCCAGTAACCTAGTTTCCTCCCCATGCCTTTCTCTTTGATTTCTCCCTACTTCAAATAAAAAGGAGAAGCACTATTCTGACTTCTGTCACTTCTTTCTAGTTGTGCCTGTTTTTGAACACCATGTAAACGGACTATTCTTTTGTATCTGGTACTTTCGTTCAGCGTCGTGTGTGGGACTCATTAGTTGTTTCATGTAGCCGTAATTTTTCCATTTCATCTTATGAATATACACTTGATGGTATTTGGATTATTTCTAGGTTTTGGCTATCATGAGTAATGCTGCTGTGTCCGTCCTTACCTCTGTCTTTCAGTGGGTGGTAAGGGATATGTATGTTTAGTAGATCCTGTCGGACAATCTTCTAAAATGGTTGTCTATTTGATGTTCCCACCAGCAAATTCTGAGCACTCCAATTGCTGATATTGCTAGATGTGGTTAATATTTCCCTTTTCAGTAGATAGGTAGGTAATAGTATCCTGTGGTAGTTTTAACTTGAATTTACCTGACTAATGATGTTGAGCCACTTTTCATATGCTTATTGAACCTTTGGATATCCTCTTTATAAAGTGCCTTTTATTTTTCATGGGCTTTTTTTTTTTTTTTACTGATTTTTAGAATTCATTATATTTTCTGGATTGAAGCACATTTTAGGTATTTGTATCGCACATATTTTCTCATGTCTGTACCTTGGCTTAGCACTCTGTTAATATTTTTTGATGAATAGTTCTTCATTTTAATGAAGTCTAACTTACCATTTTGTAATGGTTAATGCTTTATTGAAATGTTCTATTTAAGAACGCTTTGATTACTTTAAGCGCCTGAAGATATTTTTCTGTTTTCCCTTAGAAATTTTCGTTTTGGGGCGCCTGAGTGGCTCAGTCGTTGAGCGTCTACCTTCCGCTCAGGTCATGATCTCAGAGTCCTGGGATTGAGCCCCACATTGGGCTCCCTGCTCAGTGGGAAGCCTACTTCTCCATTTCACACTCTCCCTGCTTGTGTTCCTTCTCTCTCTGTGTCTCTCTCTATCAAATAAATAACATCTTAAAAAAAAAATTTTTTTTTCTTTTACCTTTCCCATGTTAGGTATATGATTCATCCAGGGTTAATTTTTGTTAATGTTGCAGGATCCAGGTTCATTCCTTTCTTATGTGTATCGCATTGTCCCAGCATCATTCCTTGAAAAGACCATTCTGTCCCCACTGAACTATAGTGATGCTTTTGTCAGAAATCAGGTGACTGTCTCTGTAGGTCTTAATAGGGCTCCCTCTTCTTTTCTATTATCTATTTGTTTATTCTTGCTTATGGTGTTATAATTAGTTTTTATGTGTGGTGGTAATATTAAGACCTCTGACTTTTTTTGTTCTCTTTCACGTGTCCTAAAGTCATTTTAGGCTTTTTGCAATTATATATGAGTGTCAATTACCCTGCTTCCTTCCCCCACAAACAAAAGCCCTGCTAGGATCTTGATTGGAATTGCATGAATCTGTAGTTTAATTTGGGGAGGATTGATAAAGTAATACTACTGAATTTCTCTATCCACAAATGTGGTATTTTCCTCAAATTATTTGGGTTCTAAATTTCTCTCAGTGATGTTTTACAATTTTCATTGTAGAGGTCTTTTACATTTTTATGTTAAATTTATTAGTAGGTAGTTGATATTTTTTGTTTGATTACAAATGGTATTTTTTTCTTCTGTGCTTGCTCCAAATGCTTAGAAATGCAGTTGATATTTATATGTTGACCTGCAACAACCTTGTTGAATTCACTTATTTTTTTGAAATGATTTTAGGTTTTCTGTGTACACAATTATGTCATTTGTGAATAATAAAGTTTTACTTTTTCTTTCCAATATTTGTATATTGATTTTTTTTTTTTGCCATATTGAACTGTTTAGAACCTTGAATACAGTGTTAAATAGAAGTGGTGGTTAGATAAATGAACGTTCTTATTCTCAACCTAACGTAGAAAGCATTTACTATTTCATAATATGATTTTTGCTATAGGTTTTATCTGATATATATATATATCAGATTAAGGAAGTTTTCTTCTATTCTAAATTGGTAAAAGAGATTTGTTTTCTATCATGAATGGATGTTGAGTTTTAACAGATCTTTTGGGGGGACATCGATTAGAATGGCTCTTTTTTAATTATTCTGTTAATGTAGTGTACTGCATTGATTTTCAAATGCTACACTAACCTTGCATTCTTAGAAGAAATCCTACTTGGTTATGATGTATTTTTCCTTTTATATATATTGCTGGAGTCACTTGGCTAATGACTGTTTAAAGAATTTTTAATACCTATATTCATGAGAGAGAAAGGCTTGTCATTTTTCATTCTCATAAGGTCTGTGTTAGGTTTTGTTATCTATGTTAATTCTCCTTTTCTTTATTTTCTGAAAGTTTGTGTGAGAGTGACATTTATTTCTTTAATGTTTAGAAGAATTCACCATTGAAGCTATTTGGGCCAAGAATTTTCTTTATGGGAAAGGTTTTTTTTTAAGATTTCCTCTTTCTTTAGCATTGTTGAATTACAGGGAATTTGTCCAGCACATCTCAATTTCAGATTTATCGGCATAAAGTTGTTCATGATACCTTCTTTGTAATGTTTGGAAAATCTGTAATGCTTTTTCCTTTTCCATTCTTATATTGGTAATTTGTGTTTTCTAAATTTTTTTCTTGATAATCAGTTTTATTAACTTTTCAAAGAACCAACTTTTTGTTTTGATTTTCTTCATTATAGTTTCTTTACATGTTATTGACTTCTTTTCTATGTTATTTTTGCTTTCTTTGGATTTAGATTTTTTTTCCCCTAGCTTCTTGAGATAGAAACTTACAGCATAGATTTTCTGTCTTTCTCCAGTATATGTATTCCCCAAGATTTTATGTAGTGCTTTCATTATCATTCATTTGAAAATGTTTTCTGATTTCCATTGGGATTTCTTCTTTGATCCGTGTGGGTCTTTTCTGTTTGCTTTTTCATTTTGGGGGGAGGGGTGTTTTTTTTGTTGTTGTTGTTGTTTTAAGAGAGAGAGAGAGTGCGTGCAGGAGTGAGAGCAAATGGAATGTGGGGAGAGAGAGAGAATCTTTAGCACAACCCTGAGATCATGATCTGAGCTGAAATCAAGAGTTGGACACTTAACCAACTGAGCCACCCAGGCGCCCTGATCCATGTTTTTTTCTGAAGCATGTTGTAAAATTTCTAATATGTGAGAGGATGATTTTTTTTTTCAGTTATCTCTTACTGATTTTTAGTTTAATTTCATTTAATCAGAGTAGACTGTATAATTTCAGTTCTTTGAAATGTGACCCAGCATATGGTCAGATTTAGAAAATACACATTTTCACTGAATGTGTATTCTACAGTTGCTGAGTATAGTCTTCCAAATATATCATTTAAGTCAAGCTGATTATGTTTAAATCTTCTATATCCGTATTGAATTTTTTGTCTATTTCTTTTACCGTTGCTGAGATAGGTGTATTAAAATCTCCAACTTTGATTCTGCATTTCAGTGTTTTTTTTCCTTTCATTTCTGTCAACTTTTGCTTCATAAATTCTGTGTCTTTATTAGGTGAATACAAATGTAGGAGTGTTATCTCTTCCAATTAATTGATTCTTATTCATTATGAAACAGACCTCTTTATCTCTTAATATTTCTTGTCTTAAGATATACTTTGTTGGAGGTTGATACAGCTGTACAAACTTCTTTTTGATCAGTATTTACATGATATATCTGTTTTTACATTCCATTTTGATTTTGTTCCTGACTTACCATCATGGAAGACTCTTTAACACTTTCAAGTGGTGTGGCTAGTAAGCTATTGCTGATAGAATGGGCAAGATGTCTACTCCTTTCTTAACCTGTGATTTTTGGATTTTTGGGGGCATAAAACTTACCAAAAATTAAATTAAAAATTTAACTTCCTCAAAGTGTATTGAATTTATTGGTTTGTACCAGACTATGTACTAAATTAAAAATTTTTTGGTTCTGTTCTCTTTCTGTTCCTCAGTGGCTGGCACACATATATCAGTCCCAAGGAATGATGGGTGCTGCAGAGATGTGTTATAGAAAGAGTCTACAAGTAGCATCCCAACAGGGCATTTGGAGTGGGAAGCTGTCGAGTCTCTTGAGACTAGCTCTACTTGCTTTAAAAGCCTGCATGGTAAGATCATATTATAATTATGATCATGAAAAACTGATTCTTTTATTTTTCTTTAAGATGATAGTGCTTTCTGTTGAGTTCCTGTTGTTTCATCACCTTCTCGTGTGGCCTTCTTATAGACTTTGTATTTGGGCTTTTGGTGGAAATAAGAGTCATGTAAATCCAGAGATTCCAATTAATTCCAATTAAATTCCAATCCAAAGATTGCAATTTAAAAGTTGAATTATGGCAGAATATACATATTTGTTTCCTGTTGATAAATTAGAATTAACCCAGGTACTCATCTGTGACAAAGGTGCCAGTAATTTAACATTTCAGTCATTTCTCAGTTAAATTTGACATTCTGTAAGAAGGACTTCTGGTAATTTTTGATTTGACATCTGTTTTTTGATACAAAATTAGGTATATTAATCTAGAAATCTTTGGTACTAGTATGGAAAACTCTTTAAGATAAATGTTTAAATGTGTGTGTGCTTTGGGGGCAAACTGCCAAACAGCGTATATGATACTCTATTTGAGTGTATGTGTGTGTGATACATATTAACTTATTTCATATTCACGGTAATCCTATTTTACAGTTGAGGAAATTAGCTTGCAGTTTAGTAATACCCATATATACCCCATCTTCTCCCACCACACTACAGCCACAAAAATTATTTTCTCTAATGGCTTTGGTTCTGGTTATACCATTTACTACCTGTGAAAACTTTAGCTGTTTAGAGCCTTTCTTTTTCCTTGTAAGAGTAGAGATAATAATACTACTTTGCCTTCTTATAGGGCTAAATATCAAATGAAATAACATTTCCAAAAGCCTTTGTAAACTTTAAAACACTGCTCGAGTCTAATTATTCTTACTGTAATATTTGACACCCAGCAGTTGTTGTAAAAGAATATGAGATGCATGTTTCTATGGTAAACACCTGGCAGTGTACAGCGGATGAGGATTGTAAAATTACACTTTTATGAGAGGCTCATGTATGTGTTATAATATATGAATAGGATATTAAACTGAGAGGTTCAGCTAAGATACTAAATACTAGATTTCAGAGATAACAGATTCCAAAATGAGATATAAGATCAAGATACAGACTTCCAAAGCGAGTAGAAGCCTAACCTATAAGGAAGCTATAAAAGGATTAGAAGTTGGAGAAGGATTATGAAGAAATTTTTTGGGGGAGAGCTATTCTGTTTCCCCCCCCCTCTATGGCACATTTCTACCCACAGATGCCTACAAAGGTGAGGAAGGGAGAAAGTGTATATTTTTTGCTTTCAGTCTGTACACAATTGGGTTTCATCCTCCAAGGTAACTGATTATGGGATAAACAGCTGAAGAGTGAATAAATTAACTAATTAATTAATTTTTAAAAAATAATAATAATAAAAGAATCTATCTGAATTCTCTCAGAGAAAGGGAGGTTTTGATGTGTGGCCTCTGAGGTCCTGGAGGCATATGGACAGGTATCTGACATAACCTCAGGAGCTTGTGGCTCTCCACCTGCTGTGTTAGGACAGAGGAAAAGAGAGTGTTTTGGAAAATGAGCACATGCTCTGGCAGAGAGTGGTCTGCAGTAGGTGAATCCCAAAGGTGGGTAGGAGTATATGGTTGGGTACAAGATGGAGGGAGTGAAGGAGACTGTGACGTGGGTTTGGCAGCACTCCTGGAGTTTGTTGGAATGAGTGAGTGGTACCAGTGTGAAAATGAGTTGGCATAGGACTTATCTTAGATCCTATCCAGTAGGGCCTCCTAGAGGAGTGATGGGATCTTGGCAGAAAGGCAACTAGAGGTTTGCAGATTGCTTAGAGGATGTGGAGAGTAAGTGAAATAGAGTATATTTGTCCAGGTTAGTGGAGCTGCAGATGAACAGGACTGCTTCACAGGCATGCATTCTGTGCAGTTGCCCAGGGCTCCACACTTGGTCTAATGCTCTCCAGTCACCATCTTGAAATTCTTAACTATTTTTGAACAAAGGGCCATGCATTTTTATTTTGCACTGGGCTCCACAGATTACATAGCTAGTCCTGCAGATAAGAGACAATCCATGAAATTGGGAGTCTCTGATAAAGCCAGGAAAGCCTGGATGAGAAAAAGAGATTGAAATATCTATCAGGCCTAGAGAGCAAGGCATCATCGTACAGTAGCACCCGTCAAATACAGACTTCCGGCATTTCAGTAGCTGTCTGAAACTACAATTGGCAAGAAAATGTGAGTGTTGGGATGAGGAGCAAACCCTCTGCTGCTATCTGTAACCATACCCTGTCTGGGAACTGTAGTGGGACAGGGTGCAAATACTACCTTTGCATGAAGATTGAAGTATTGAAAGGAAGAAGATATTCTAATTAAGATTGTTTGTGATGACTCTAAGAAAAGTAGGTATCAGAATCACAGAGCCTACTGTAATATATACCCAGGGACAGAGATAAAGTGCTTCCTCATATAACAAATTTTAAAGACACAGTGGGAGACAAAAATGTGCATTCTGTTTTTAATATACCAAGTACATATGGAAACTTTTTCCTTATATAGTAATCTGAGCTAACTTTATAGACTATTTTATATGAGAATACATTATAAAAGCAACCAGTGAGGGTTTGTGTTCTTGGTTTTTAAAAATATTATTAGGAATGAGGCACCTGGGTGACTCCAGTCAGTTGAGTGTTGGAGTCATGATCTCAGTATCATGAGATGGAACCCTGTGTTGGGCTCCATGCTTAGCGCAGAGTCTGCTTAACATTCTTTTCCCCTCCCTCTCCCTCTGCTCCCACCTACCCCCACTCTAAAATAAATAAATAAATAAAATCTTTAAAAAAATAATATAAAAAATAAAAATGTATTAGGAATAGTCGTATTACTTTTGGGCTTTGCCTTATTTTCTTTGTCAAATGTACCCAAGGTCTCATTGCTTCCATCTTTATAGAAGATGCTTTACAATTTATTTTCAAATTTATTATCTTTATAGCTTCCTTTTTCTTGATTACATGCATAATAATTACTGCCTGTACTGCACTCAGTTTATTGCTCTAACATTTTTTTTATAATTTCGTGTTTGAAATGGACACATCCTATTGACTTTATTAAAATGTGTACTCTAGATACCTGTAAATATGAAATCTTAGTTTTTGATGAACGTTTGAGGTTTTTAATGAAAGATTTTAAGTGCATTTTTTCTTCTAACATAATTCAGCAGACTGTTCACCATTTTATCTTCACGTTATTGTTCCTTAGGAACACACTTATCTGTTATTTCTGAGTCAGTACATGTAAGAAACTAAAGTTTGCAACGTAAGTGATGTGTAGATACCTTAACATTTTCCTTATAAAGTGAAATTCTTTAAAAAGTTCTCATTATTGATGAGTTTGATTTATCTGTGATCTGCTTTGTACCTTTTTTCTATTTTGGGATTTTATTAAAATATTTAATTTCAGCCTTCTCTCTCTCCTTAGATAATTTTTGAAATGTGGGACATTATCACTACCAATTAAAGAGTCATGTTAAATTGAGTTTTTTATATTTGTTAGATCCCAGAGGCTTAGTGACTGATAGATTTTATTCACCTATATAGTAGAATAGTGCATTTTCTTTTAAGAAATATTTTAGTGTTTTTTAAGTAATATTCCTCTTTGAAACCTTCCTTTTTTCCAGTCTGCCCTGTTCTGTAGCTCTTTAAGGGCAGGAATCAGATCGTAATCATTTTGTAGAATCATGGCCCCTGTAGCAATTACATGGTGACTTGGACAAGTAGGCACTTAATAAATGAGTGTTGAATTTCATTTTTTTAAGGTAAACATGTTGAAAGCCTCGATTTACTATATGTCTTATATTTTTACAGGCTAATATTTCCAATGATCACTGGTCATCTTTGGTTCAGGAAGCTACAACTGAGGCCTTGAAACTTTGCTTTTGTCCATTGGCTGTCTTTTTACAAGCTTTGTTACAGTTCAACCGCAAAATGGGGGCAAGGTAGGAAGAATTCTTGTTCCCTTTTTTTCTTGGAAATGTTTCTTCACTTTCAGTCCCTCAAGGAAACAAAGATTTAGAGTTAGTGTAACAAACTTGATGTTATTCATATATCTGTTACTACTTTGGAAAGGCTGTTGAAGTAACCAAGTAAGGAAGAAAGCAAAGTCTTATATTTGTTTTACAAAAAATAATTTGGTACACAGATATAGAATATGAGAGATTGGGCATGACAGCATTTCAAGTGAAGAAGGGCTTGGAGTTTAGCTGTCTTCAGATATACCAACAGTGTAATGTGGATTCTAGAAACAAAATAAAAATACTGAAGTTCAAGGCTAGATTGACTTAAGTTCATGCAAGGTACTGAGCTATGAAAAAAAAGTAATGAATATTGAAAAGACAGAATTATGTTTATAAATAATGAGGTTTTTATATCTAGAAAAACTCAAAGTTTCTGAGATTACAATATACAAATTTTAGTGATCTTTTTATTGAAAGGTGAGGATGGGGTCAGAAATAAATTTGAAAAAAATTACTTAAAGATCATATGGATGAAAAAACAAGCAAGAATATTTTAAAATTCTGAGAATAATATGTAGCTTTAATGGTTATTACACATAATACAGAGCAACTGTAGGTAAAACCGTGGTTTAGGAGCATTACGTTACTGCAACACGATAGATATTGTAGACATAGAGCTTAATACATATAAATATGTGGCAGGGATCACATCAGCATCCCAAAATAGGAGTGAAGGAAGAATTAAGGCTATGGCTAATCAGCAGTTCCAGAACCATTTAGTATTTATTTACTTTTGGCCAGTTTTTTGTATGACTGATTTCACTCAGAAATGTTTTAGGCTATAATTTATTTATACTTCCTAATGAACTCTTTCTGCTGAAGCTCAGTGTGGGTGACTTAAAGGGCCTTAACCTATACCTCCTTGTAATCGGTTAGCACCTCCCATAATTTTTATCAACACCAAAAATCAGCCCAAATCAACATAAACGCAAAGAAAAAAACAGTGTGCTTACTGTGTGATTCATATGTAGATATATCTTCAAGACAAGTTCTTTAGTTTCTGCTTTGAACCAATTGCTATTTATAAGATCCTCCTATTCAGCATTTCTGAAGTTACCACAATTTGTGTTGTGTCTGTTAGTACGGAAGTTTCTGGAGTCATAGGTGTTAGTAAATAAGGAAAGAAAAATTAGAACACAATTGTAAATCAGCCTTTTATTACATGGATTTACATATTGTACTTGTCTGTTAAAGCATATACTAAAAAGCCTGATATACACTTTGACTCTGTTGTAGATTATTTTTGTATTGTTTATGGATTTGTTTTCAGTCTGTTTTCAAAAAGGATTAGAGGTAGAGCACTCGGAAGTGCTCGTAAAATAGGAGCCTTTCCCCTCTTCAATTTGGAATGAGCCTTAATTTACTTATTTGCAAAATGAGAATAGTAATAGCAAGCTAACCTTACAAGGTAGCGAATGTTCAATGTGACCATATGTGTAAAATACTTAGTGTCGTACCCAACACATAATAAACACTTAATAGATATTAGCCATTATTATTACCTTTATTCTATGAAAAAAAATTCATGAAGGAACCAGTACCACGTGTGCAAAAGAATGAGAAAGATAACGTGTGTGAGCCTAGTATATGAGATATCTTATGTTAATTTAGATGCTGTGGACTAAATATAAGTATCTTTTTCAGAGAGACGCGGCGACTTTTGGAAAGAGTGGTGTATCAGCCTGGGTATCCCAAGTCTATTGTATCAACTGCACGTTGGTATCTACTGAGACACTTACATGCCAAAAATGACTACGAGCTTATTGATGTAAGGCCTTGATTTTATTCATAATATTTCATTTTGGATCTTTGTTGGAGGAGGGGTGAGGGTTACTGTCCTGTGCATTGTTGGGTATCTAGCAGCACTCCTAGCCACCCTAAACACTGGGTGCCAGCGGCACTGTCCTCTTCCCTCTGCGCAACTTGTGACAACCACAGATGGCTTCAGACATGCCAGATGATACCCGTAATTGCCCCTCGTTGAGAACCACTGATTTTACCTGTAGGAAATGCATTCTCCTGATGTGCTATGTAGAATAAGAAAGTTAGACAAAGGAACTAGGTGCTGGTTGTGGTATTTTTTTATGACCATTGCACTGGAAGCAAATATATAGGATAGGTTTGGAAGTAGCAGGATTTAATGGGATCTTGATACTAAATTTGGAAATACTATTTTACTTGTCTTTTCTATGAGATGCATGTGACAGTTTCTACTCCTCATGGGATAGCTCTGGTATCGAAATACATAAACATATATGTATGTGTATCTAAAATTCTTTTTAAAAAGGTAGAGTATATAAAACACATATAAGTTTAAGATTCTCATAACTTGAGCTTATAATTTATAAAATACAATGAATATTAATGAGAAGCTTTTTACATATCTGAAGCTCTTGAAATACTGTTTGCCTTTCTGTGAAACACAGTATTAAAGAAATATTAACAAAAACAATGCTTGGAGAAAGGCATTCTAAGTAACATATTGCAAACCAAAAATATAGAACTTGTGTGAATGTTGGAGACGGTTTTCCATGCTTTTCTTGCATTTCTAAGCATCCTGTGAGCAGATGACCTGACTGCTCTTTGTTCCAGACTGTCTTTTCAAGGATGTTTTTATAGTGAGCCTCGGGAGACAGACGTAAGTGTCTCCCTCCAGAGTAAAGGGTAGGCCCATTATAAAGGGTTCAGGTCTCCTGGGCTCAGGGTTCCTCTCTTGTAATGCAAACCAGTATGGATGTGGGAATCTATATACTTCCATCCGGGTCACCTGTGTGAGTCTTAGGGGCCAAGGGGAATAAATGTAAATGTCTTGATCCTCACGCAGTTTGTTGTACCATGAGTGGTAAACACCTTTGTCTCTCACCCAGGAGAACCGTGTCTTTTGGCAGTATCCATGAAACCGTGCAGGCTAACTTGTTGGCTTGCAAGTAGAGCAAAATCTCAGACCCTTCACGGTGTTCGAAAATGAACAACCAAAAAGTTTTAGTAGTCGAATGAGCAACCGAAATGAAATCTTACGGTTTGTGGAATTGGTGAAAACCTTGCAAAGCTTCTTGATAGAGCTCGAATCTAGAACCTCAATTCTAAGCTATGGTTTTCAAGGAGAAAAGTATCGGGGCACCTGGGTGGCTAAGTCGGTTAAGTGTCTGCCTTCAGCTCAGGTCATGATCCTGGAGTTCTGGGATGGAGCCCCGCATCTGGCTCCCTGCTCAGCCGAGAGTCAGCCTCCTTCCCGCCCCCCAACCCCTCGCTCGTGTTTTCTTTCTCTCCGTCGCTCACTCTCTTTCTCAAACAAATAAATAAAAATCTTTAAAAAAAAAAATAAAGGAGAGGAATATCACTTGCACAGTTCTGTGTATAAAGTGGTCTTCCGGGTAAGGGTTTAGAGATGACAGTATTATAAACAAAACCACCACTTTAATTTTATACAGTGCTGACGAAGGGTAACAGTCAAAATGTTGCATGTAAACTAATTGAGCATTTGAATCAGTTGTGCTTATCTTTGATGTTGGCTTTGGCTAAACAATTTATTTCAGCAAAAATGACTGAAAAGATTGCATGTAGTCACTTTTTCTTGTGTTGTTTGATATTGCTTGCTGCCTTTTGGCATACTTGGCTTCTATGAATTTAAATATAGTTACCGTTAATAAACAATACTAATGTTCCTATATGTGATTTCCCCTAGGTGCTGGTAAACAATGCCAAAACTCATGGAGATACAAGAGCATTGGAATTGAATCAGAAATTGTCCTCACAGTAACAGTGTGTTATTTTATAGTAAGCAAGCAAAGAAAAAGTTATTAGAAAGAAACAATGAATCAAGACTGTTCCCCAAAGCAACATTTTAAAAAAACATAGTTATAATCATCCATTCCTATTTCAAATCTAAAGACATTTAAGTTCTTAAGCTAGGGATTTAATTTTTCAAAAACTCGTAATATAACTTTAATTTGAAAAATGTGTTTGATTTTGAGAAGCCCATAATGAAAGGAAAAAACATGATTCCCTTAGGTGTTCATCAGTAATTTGTAAACCATTCTTTTCTCCATCTTGCATTGTGCATAATAAGATGTTTTTTGTACCCCTTTATAATAAAGCCTTCATAGCCATTTTCCAAATAATATGCAAAAGCAGATTAGCACAGTGCAGAATTTTACTTCTTAAAAAATAAATTGAAAGATGTAATTTCTTCTATGAACTCTGGAGTTCAGCAGACCAACTCATCATAACATCTAAATAATCTCACAGCCTATTTTACTAGTGGTTCATTTCAGATTCTGTCGAAGAAGTATAATGTAAATGTTGGTGAGTTTAGACTGCTAATGGATATGTTTGTATAATTCAAAACACTCAGGTGTATGGCTGCATTAAAAAAATTAATGGAAAATTTTGGAAAATAATGCCAACAGTGTTTAATTGATCATGCAGTTTCTTCAATTATGACGAAAAGACTTGAACTTTCTGAAATAAGAAAAAACATAGTGTCTTATTTTCTTTATAGTATTAATATCAGATATAATTTCTAAGTTTCAAATTTTAAAACTTGAAAGCACGTTACGTATTTTAGGTTTTCCAAAAAACCTTTTATATATCTGAAACAACTGTATGTTGCTTACTTTGGATTTGTGGTTTTAAAAAATATTTTCAGATATTTACATATACTATTTGTTGTATGAAAATGTGTGGTTGTACAATTTATGTGTGCAGTTTTTCTAAATCAACTTTATGGTGTTATTTTGTGAGATAATATAAATTGATAATATTCTGTAATTAAATTTTGCTCCAAAGGTTAATCTATTGAACTAACTATAATTTGGTGAATTCCCAAATCTGGCTGAATATTATCCTCATTCAGACCTATGCAATCAGAATCTTTAAGGATAAGGGCCTAGGACTCTGCATGATAAAGGCATGCCTAAGAGATTCTAATGTTCATTCAGGTTGGTGAACCACTGGATTAATCCAATGATGATTATTCCCGTTACTTTTTTCTTTAAAAGAATCAAGCACTTGCCATTCTCTGCCCGTTTCTTCCTTATCTTCACAACTGTCCAACTGAATCAGTGCTTTTGACAGCCTGTCCCACAGACTTAGCCAGAGATGAGCTGCAAAAGATTGCCTGTGCCTCTCTGGTGCCCGTGCCCTCCTCCTTCCTCTGGAAAGCACTTTAGCCTTTACCCCAGAATGGCCTGGATCTATCTGCTTCAATGCTTATGAGTCAGTTCTTGTTTTCCATCTGCTTTCTGGGGTGTCACTTACTTCACAAGGTTACTTTCTCCTGCAGTGTGGACTTGGTTAGTCTTTGCTCCAGGCCTGTAGCCAGGGAGTGACCTTTTGACTAAGTTGCCTAGTTCTGGCCTCCGAGAACCTCAGACCCAGGTTTTCTAGAAAGGAAGGTTCGAAAACATGATAGTTAATACCATCTCAGATAATTCTTTTTGCATGGATGTACACACATCCTGTCTTTTCTTTGTTCTCTTAAGACTACTGCCCAGTTACTGTGAGGCTCCAATCATAAATGTATGAGTTTTACAGAGCTTACTTAATGCCAGACCTTTGCTAAATGTTTTGAACATTGTCATTTAATCTTAGTAAGTAAAGGAAAATAGTGCTAAACACTATGCTTAAAGCAAAGAAAAACCTGAAATGGAATCGGTGTTATCAGATTCTAGGAACTTTAAAGTAGCCAAAAGTTCCCTTCATTTTATATGTGAGTTTAGAGAAATTACATCAGAAGTTATTTCCAGAAGTGTCAATATTTAGCATTCATATTAGGTATTTCCTTATTTGAGAATTATAGTGCATTTTTGCTAATTTTTATCTACCTTTTGGCTCTTATTAATTAATTAGATATTTATAGTCCAGCTAGACATCTGATAATCATTTTCTGTGGGAAACATATATTTCAGCTTATGAGTAAACTTTTAGAACACAATCTGCTTGTTTGGGATCACTTGTCCTATCTCTAAAATGTCCCTTTCATTAATTTCTGGTCAGGATAAAAAAAAAAAACACCTTAGTTTAAAATGCCGTGCTCTTTTTTCAGTTTGAAATGAAACTTCCTTTCATTTGGGAATCTACACAGAACAGCATTGGACAGAAATTCTCTGGTTCTCCATTAAGGGAATTAAAAGATATGGTTACCTAAACTAACATAAAAAAAAAAAAACTACTCTGAAACATTGGGTAAATATTTACTGATGTGTAATATATGAATATTAAAAGATACATGTTTGGTTGCTTCATAGAAAAGCTTGATACTTGTTTGGGGACATTTTATAGGAACACAAAAATGAAGCATATTTTATGTATGAATCAGAGGGACTTGCAGATCTATTTCAGTTTTTGCACACTTTAAAAAATGTGGAACTTTGTTTTGGCATAGTTGACCCTTGTCTCTCTGCAGGTCTTCCTTTTTTTCACTTTAGTTGCTAATGGATAGAAAGCTTCTCAGATGCCCATGTGTAGACTCAGTTGCTGGTTATAAACTGACCGTCAATTTGCAGGAGAGGTTTTTTTGTTTTGTTTTGTTTTTTACATTAGAAAGACACATTTGTGTATCAGATTAATCCAATGATGATTATTCCCGTTACTTTTTTCTTTAAAAGAATCAAGCACTTGCCATTCTCTGCCCGTTTCTTCCTTATCTTCACAACTGACAGTCAAAATGTTGCATGTAAACTAATTGAGCATTTGAATAAGTTGTGCTTATCTTTGATGTTGGCTTTGGCTAAACAATTTATTTCAGCAAAAATGACTGAAAAGATTGCATGTAGTCACTTTTTCTTGTGTTGT